CATCAAATATCGGAAACCTTGTTCGTCCATGGCCCAAGGGTAAGGGACGTCATTGTTGCCAACCGGGGATAAATACTTGGTAATGGGTGACTTTGCTGTAAAGGAGAACACTTTCTCTCCAACAAAGACATACTTCAAGCCCCCCAAGTGCAGCAACATGGAGTTTCCATCAAAGCCAGCGCCATGCTTTGGGCTCTCCCCGACAAAGACCCTCTCCGCATCAAAGGAGGCGCAGGCAACTTCTTCATAGTTTGGCCCACCCTCCTCATCATCATCATCATCATCATCGTCATCATAGATCGCCTTGAAGACTTGCACCTGGGCCTTTTCACCCTGCTGCACTGAGACCCTGAAGGGCCGGCCGCAGTTGTCGTGGATCAGGTATACACCACATGTTCGCACGCCATCTCCAACAGCTGGGCGCTTCTTAGGAGGCATCAGAACCAGGGTGCAACTATAGTTAATAAAGACAAAGAGCTTGAGCGCTTGAACCAAAATGGCCTGAACATCCTAGAGAACCCCTTAGTACAACCCGCCCTGAACTTGAAGAATTAGACCAGTGCTTCAGGGATTGGGGATGTACCTGAGGCATGCGGGGTTCTACCTTAGGATTCTTGGAAGCACACTGTGTGTGTGTGTGCATGTGGTGGGAACCCGACTTCAAGCGGATTCAGGAGAGGGGCCGAGGGGGGAGAAGAGCAGGGTGTCGGTGGAATCCAACTGGCAGATCAGAGGCGCTCGAATTGGACGGAAGAGCTTGGATTCTACTGCAAGTTGTGCGGCTATGGATTCAAGCATGTGTCTGTGGGGTTGCATACGGTGTTGGTTTTTAGCGCCGGACAATTTCGTGCGTAAGGGTATGATAGAGGACATTCCCAATACAATATATTTGATGTTTTTACCAAAAAAATGGGGTCGTCTTTGTGGCATTTGGGAGGCTGGAGGCAGGGAGCATTTGGACTGAGGGCAGAAACTGACAATGTGGTTTCTACGTGCAACCGCCAAGGCGGCGTTTGAGACGCAGGGCTGAACTTCATGATTTGGACAAGGGGGAAGCTAGGGAAGGTGTGGTCTTTCATGGGAAGGAGGGTGTCATGTTTGGAGCACAGTTGTCCAAAAAGTGTGCGCGGAAGCAGATGTTTCTTCGGGAAAGGCGTTTCGACCTCCGAATGGCTCAAACACTACCCTTATCCTTAGACACAGAGTGAAACTCAACATCAAGACACCTTTCTTTTAAAGGGGGAGTTGTCTCAAAATTTCCGGGTTGTTACATGAGTCATACACAAAACCCGGTACTAAAATGGTCTACCCAGAACCATGCTTCAAGAATTGCGAAGGTTGCCGCAGCTACTTGTGGCAAAAAGAAATGTCTCTTGCCAACCTTCGTCAATCCCCGAATCGGTTTTGAGCACGTGGCTCACATGTCCCACGAACACCGCCTGACATTCTCTGCGTTGGCCGGCCTTGGGACTGCCTCCGCCGGTGCCGCTGTAGAGGTCTGCCGGCAGCCCGTTGTGGGCCGAGAAAGACAGGTTCCTGGCGTCCGAGCCATGTCCCATTGGCAAGTGCCATGGGAAAGACCATGAGAGATGCCAATGACAGCCGAGTTGAGGTCAGAAACATTCCTTGTTGGGGGCGATTGCCCTTTCATAGGGCACAGAACCAAACTCGACGAATCCTGAGGTTTCAAGTGCTGCTGTTGCGGGCAGATGCTGTTCCCCCAACGGACATAGAAAAATTCGAGACTTCCCCTGTCCCAAATTTGCCATGGACTACTGCAAGTCTTGGCCGAACCTGATATGACGTGAAGGAGAAATTGCTCTATCCGGACGAGGCTCAGAGATACCTGCGCCACGAGAAGTGCCTGAGCTTCAGGCACCAGGTCGCACTGGTCCAACAGCGAACCCTGCAAAGCATGGCGTGTGACCAAGCCTTGCGACCCATGCCGAGTGGCCACCAGGTATGTCCAGGGCCATCCTGAAATACTGGCTTGTCCTTAGGAAACCACAGCTCCTACTCTATCACAAACATGGGTCAGGAAAAAGCGGATGTCCCTAACAAATGTTCTTCCCTTTGGGAGACTTCTTTCAGCCGGGCATCTCAGAAATCCTAAGCTCACGATGGACAGCACGGCGCCAGCCACGATAAAAGGCCCTCAGAAGCCACAGCCCGGGTTGAGCAAACCACAGCGCATTGCAATGGTATGTGTACATCACGCAGTTCATATATATATATATATATATGTTGTTATCCTATCTTATGTTGCTTATTTGTTGCTATTGTGTATTGCCTAATGATTTGCCCACATGTTTGTTTATGTGTGCAATCATGTGTTCCTTGGTTTGTTTAAGTGTTGCTTTGTTTACTTATTTGCGTGTTTACTTACTTGCACACCTACTTTATTCATAGTATGTGACGCGCAACAGCCACACCAGCCGTACGCCAGGAATGAGCGAGTCCGCACAACCCGGGTCTTGTGTTTGGGGGGCAAAAGCGCGGCAACGAGATGTTCGAACGCCTTGGGCTAGGAGATCTACCCCACTGTTCATGAATCGGAATCCTCCATTTGCTTAAGACCCTGGGAAAAATTGATAGATTCCCTTTAAAACCAACAGGGGAAAATAAACAATACTCTTAAGCAAATGCAAGGAAATCAGGACTCTCCAGCGAAGGAACCTTGTCCTGGGTGAGCTCGATTTATATGTAATTTCAGGTACGATTCAGGCAATAAGGGGACCAGCAAATGTCTTTGGTGCACATTTGGATTTGTCAAAACTAGGCCCACCTACAAGTCGGCTCCGAGCAAACCGGCAGGTTTCACGCATTTAATTTGAGGACTCCGACTTGTTGGCTACTTCTGCATTGTGCACATCTACCCGTGCCATTTGGGTATGGGTCAAAATTAAACCACCAGGGGACCGAGGGTTTAGTTCTGGGTTCGATATACCAGGGCAAGCCATTTTTCGAACCTAGTTTTGACCCACAGCCATTTTGTCGCTTACCCAAAGAAAGACTTAAACCCAGGGGTTGCCGTAGGGAGATGAACATAGGCTTCCTTTGAGGGGAAGTAGATGGGTCTCCCTGGTAGATGCTTAAACCACCAGGTTTTCTCCAGGGCCATCTACTCTTCTTCCAAAACCACCAAAAAGAACTTGCCGTTGGGAGATGTCGCTTACCCAAAGGAAGACTTAAACCAAGGAATTGCCCTTGGGAGATGAAGCATTCCCGTTCGAGTCCACCTGAATGTGGCGGTTTGGCGGTTTGACTCCATCCGGGCCGCTGCGGCGCCCGAAGCGGCTGGCGTGCCGGTCCGAGAGCTTGCCGGCCAGCGGGCACACCAGTTGCGCAAGGCCACAGACCTCTGCGCGGGGCCCGAAAGATCAGACCGATCAGGGCCGTCCAAAAGATTGGGGTCCCGGGACCCTTTTTTTGGATGTTTTTATGGAAACCAAACGGAAACCAGGAGTTTGGAGGGAAGACCCCTGAACCAGACCTACCCAAATCGGTTCCGAGCTCAAGCAAAATGGTGACGGCAAGTATGGGAGATAGACAAACCATTTCCAGGAGCTGGAGGCAAGGAAGAGAAGCCGATCAAACTTGAGCCAAGTCTCGCCTAGATAGATACCAACCTTAGCACAGTCAGGCATCGCTGCGCCAGCTTTGCACTGGCGAAGCAAGAGCGATGGTCAAAATCTGCGGCTAGCCAAAAGACATGGTACAATTTGCGAGTCCCCGGGTTTGTGGATTTTGTTTACGAGGTTGATGTCGCTCCCCAACAATTCATGGACCGGATTTCACCGCACATGAGAATGGCCATCTGGTTCCACTGAGTCCAGGACCCAAAGGCTGCCAGCTCCATTGTTGAGACGATCAGCTTCTTGGGGTAGCACACATAAGGCCATCCCAGAATTCACCATGGAATATGCAAACCTGAAGCCAGTTACAAGTGTACATGGTGCTGCATGGAGCGCGCCATGCACATCTTAAGGCCTCAAAGCTCAACTTGAGCCTTGGCATGCCACTCCGTCCAAGCTGCTGAAACAGGGTCACCTCAGCCCAGCGATGCTGGACCACCAGTTTCGATTGAGTAGCAGGTAATGCTCCACTCTCCTGCCAGGCTCACAACTGCGCATGCAGGAAAAATGGCTTGCGAGTCTCTGCGTGCAGGATCTTTGCAACCTCGTGGAACTAGTCGGCGAATCAGCAACTAAACAAGGAGTACTCCATGTCTTCCCTTCACAGCACAGCTGTGAAATTGACTTCTCTTTGGGGAGGACGTTGGGCAACCCCACATTTCCCGCAAAGCCCGAACCCAATTTTCCCATGTCCTCCGGGAAAAACAAAAGAATCGTGTCTCCCAAAGGGCCATCCAAAGCCAGGTATCTCCTGGCAGGCATGGTAGGCCTGTACCAGCTGCTTCGAGCAAGCGGGAGTGGCTAACGGCGCATGGCCATCCTCCCCTAAGATGATCTCACGCAACAAAAGCACTGGGATAAGAAGCCCACCAAACAAGCAAGCAACTAAAACAGCAAGCATGTCAAGCAAAGCAAAGCACCGAAACAAAGAAACAATTCGCCCACACACAAGAAAACAACAACTGTCGATCACAGACCAAGCAGCCCAACATCTGCGGGTCTTTCCTGGGCAAGGCTCCAGAAACAAACTTCTCTGTGCTGGAGCACAGCCGCATGCTCAATTTAGCCGAGAGTCTTCTGGTACGGAGAAGATTCAACTCCGCTGTCTAGTACATTTTCCGGATACGTCATGAGTGTAAAATTGGCTGCAGCACAGCAGATCATCAGGCTGCGGACTGCATGTCAATGTGTATAGATTGCGTGTAGTATGCCTAAAATTTGTGTAAATCTATATGCAGCAGCAGTATTGCTTATTTAGCATGTGTGGATGCCGCTGATGAAGCGGCACCAACCAAATACTTCACATTCAATCAAAACCTGTTCTGGGTGAAGTTGAGGGCCGTGGGTATCAGCTGAGCCCGGAGCGGGTCAGACGGCTTCCTGAAACTCCCGGCTTCATTCGAGAGCGCCGCGCATGGCTCGACACTTGCTGAGCTAGGAGCACGCCCCTGCTGCCCTCTCGGAAATCCCTCAGACAGCCACGCCATTGAGCCCCAGCGAGAAGAACCGAACGCTTTGTGGGTCACGGGAAAATGGGTGAGCCCTCCTGGGTTTTGTAAAAGGTCCCATGTACTTCCTGAACATACACGATTGGAGATTTTGAGCAAACCTCTACGGATGTGAGCACGGACAAATTTACATAAATGTTTTCCGAGAACATGTAGGAAAGTTGGGTTTGGGTTGTGGAAAAATTGGCTGGAGCCCGCGCCACTTTGCCGACTACAATACCCCAGCTATTGCGTGGGCCCCCATGTTCTCCCAAGACTAACCATAGACGAGTAATTCTGTCGTAGCAGGCGTGTCTGTACGGAGATCAAACCAAAGATTTGCGCTTCTTACGCCGAGAATCCAGGGGTTTTCGCACTTCGTGTACATCTCCTGTCCAAAAGCAAGCAGCTGCCGAAACCGCAATGATACAAGGCACACCTGGCCAAGTGCATTTTCGCATCACTGCCTTCAGTGTCTGCTCCCACTCTTTGTCCTGCTCCTGCCAGCTCGTAGTGCAGTCTCATCAACGTGTATTTGTCTTCAAGTTCAGAAACCAAAAAAAATACGGGTCCCTTTGGTTTCCCTTCGCTGCGCCCTATGGCCCCTGGGCCTGTGAGTACTTGGCCGCCAGCATGCCAGGATTGACCTGGAGCAATTGGTTTGTCTCCAGATGGTGTCCATTTGCACCAGCCCACAAAACGTACCCTCGCTTTCAAAGTGCCCCAACTAGGTCCAAAGCCGATTTGAGCAAGGACTGATGAACCCCGCCTGCGTGAGCTGAGGGACCATTCCAGTCATAGATCCCAGCCTGAGAAACAAACTGAGAGGCAATGCACACGCCCATGAACCATCATTCAATCCAACAACCGCGCAAATAGCTGAAGCCTTACATGCAGCAAGGAGGAAACTAGGATATTTCCATGAGCCACCCTAGCTTGTGGCCGGTTTAAACGGTCTACCACAATATGGGTATGGGTCAAAACTAACCAGGAATTGGACCACAGGTTTTACGTTTTTAGTCATTGTTTCCATTTACCAGGGCAACCCATTTTGGGGTTACCCTATTTTTGACAACCACAGCCAAATGATCAACATACCTCCACACCAAGGCGGCACCTGCCTAAGGCCTACCCACAGCATTGCTTTCTCTTGGAGCTTCTTGAAGCGAAGCGAAGCGTTCTCTCTCAGCTCACGGCGCACCGAGCCGTCGGCCTCGTTGCTCAAGCGACATGCGCAACCCGTGACCGGCATAGGGCTCGAAGGCGGTTGCTTTTTTTTCTGCGTGGGATTGAAACATGCCGAGCACAAAACCTATTCAGAAAAAGGAATAGGCTTGAAAATTCTGGATAGGTTTGAAAATTAGTTCAATTCTTTCATTATTTTCCGCTTCTGTGTCGAAGAATTGAAAGCGGCCATAGAGTTTCTCGTTTGATGTATAAGACGGACAAGGAGTTCATAATGACGAGTTGTCATCGGGCATCTCCCCGATGACTTCTTCGCGTTCTCCGCATCTAGCTAGTTGTGTGAACACAGCGAGGGAGGGAAAGAATTACACCCCCAGCCATCGCCTTGGCGCATAAAAGCAATGCTCATTTCTCCTTTGCCTCCACCGTAGCAAGGATCTGGATGTAGCCTTTGGTCTCGTTCTTTGATAGCAGCAGCAATGCTGCCAGGTTGTCAATTTGAACCACGTCCAATCCAACGGAGTTCAAGATCTAGCCAGTGACTGTGCGTGAATGCCTGAAATGTCGGTAGTCGGTCAGCGTCTCTGACACATGCAGGTACGTCGACATTTGATATGTCTCTCTCGCCTCGCCCACCATGATACAGAAGCAGACCAAATTGCCAACAACACGAAGCTAGCCGTCGGTATCGATCTCCTCTATTTTAACATTCATTGTGGTGCGCATGCCACAAGAAGTGGATGATGAGGGCTCGAGCAAACAACGACAGCTGCAGCAACGTCCAGGTGTAGGTGGCCGCCTGCCTTGATGTTCTCTTAGCACGCTAATCTTTGCTTTTGCTTCTGGGGGCAGGGTTGTTCGCAATGCTTTGTGCCTCCCGCGCCTGGCACACCTCCTGTGGGGATCTGCTGCGATGTCACCACACTGCACGCTCCTGCCAGCTCACGGGTCGCATCCTCAAGACTCAAAACCCTCCAAAGTAGCTGAGATTGAAACCACACGCAACCCGGAAGGAATTTGAGACCCTTCAATGCCACCACGTTCAGACACCCCCAGCGCCTTCCAGCTCCCGGCCGCCGTGCCAGTTCAAGACCTCCTTCTGGGTTTCGAAGCTGTACCTGGCAGAAAGCCAAGCCAACGAGCCCATGGGGCATCCAAACAACCATCCAGATGATGAATGCAGCCAACAAATAAGAGTACATCAAGAATCCCAAGGACACCGTTTTGCTTTTCACACCCTCTGCCGGATTTGCGCACCCTCTGCAGGTGATGATCATGTCACAGGCCTGAGTGGCACATGGGACAGACTGGGAGCTTTCCCTGACGGGTTGGGCCGAGAATCACTCCTTTCGGTGAAGCACTCAACGAACACAGCTTCCCCTTGGGCCCGACCAAGTGCTTATTGATCGGGGCAAACATTCCCAACCTGCCCTTCCGCTTCCTTTCTTCTTCTCTTTTCTTGTTTGGGGGGGGGTTGGGGGGGGGGTTGGGCGGCCAAAATGAAACCACCCATTCTGGGATTCCCTGACCCACTTTGGCGAGACAAAGTCACCCTCAGGCTGCCACCAGCTTGCAGCAGCTGCTGGTGGTTGGCTGGACACCTGTCAAAATATGGCCAACAAACACATCCTCAAATGCCCAGTGGCCATGCGAAAAGAAGGGTTGCTTTTTTGATTGGTTGAATTTGAAGGGGAACCCTGCCCCCAAAAAAAAAACATAGACTCAGATAGCGAAAAACGAGCCGATCATTGCACACCAGCACCTCTAACAGCACTCCCCCAAGAGCGCCCCAAGCAGACCCCCCAAAGCACCCGGCCGTCAATCTCTAAAAATGCACCCGCACAGTCACCCGCACCTCAAAAAACACTCCAACAGCACACCCAAACAACACCTGCACCAGCACGCCAAACTGCACGCCCCCTAGCACCCAGCCGTCAATCTCGCAAATCACTTCCCCCCTCTTTATTAGAAGTTAGAACCCCTATAGCTTTCAGCCATCTGGGGAAAAGGAGCGCCACTGGGTAACTGGGGTCATTTGGTTCGAAGGGGTCGGGGCAACCCGCGAGCATTGCTGAAGGAGATGCTGCAAAGACTCGCCCTTCCCAAGGCTTCGCCGTGTGAGCTCTTGCAGCAGTGTATCTTCAGCGTCTGCGGCTTTCCATGATGCTTCCCGAACTCGGGGTCCGTAAGAAATCGGCGGTTTCCTTTTGGGTGCCCATTTGAGCACCAAACAAAAGGGGGGTCCACCTATTTTGAGGAACTCTGTGGGCGAGTAGGCGCCCGGCTTTTCTGATAGGGCGCCGTCACCTCGCTCCGACTGCTCCGACTTCATGGCCCACAGCGACTGGTTTCAAGCATAGGGGGGTTGATCCGCCGACCGGTTTTGAGCTTGCGGGACGGCTTGAGCGGTCCCAGTGTTATACGGGGAAGGGGGGATTTGAACCCGAGCGTGCCGCTACTCCACACCACGGCCCCCCAAAAGGACTTCATATTTCGAGAACGTGGGAAAAGTTACCGATGGCCATTTGGGGGCGAGAAAATTTGTTCAAGCCATGTCTCAAAACTACCGACGTCAAACGTAGCAATAGCTGGTTTCTTGGTATCCGTTTGCAACAAACCAAACTGAACTACCCAAAATGCAAGGGGCTTGCGACCCGCAGTCTCAGCTTTCGGCCAGGCTGCCAGTGTCAGATTCCTCGTCGCAGGGTCATTTGCTGAAATATGGCCATGGGTCAAAACCCCGTACCCCCTGTGAACATCCCAATCCGGACTAAAATAGACTAAAATGGGTGGTGCACCTATCCCAAAATGGTACCATTGGTTTTGAACCATGGCCATCTGGGTGTCTCTGATGTCGAATACCCAAATGCTTGGTTTCCTCATGGTGTCCGTCTCAGACCGACCGAAAGGGGTGCCCAATTCTGGGAACACCCCGTATCCGAATTCTGTCATGCGTGTCAAGCAGGTAGAGCCCAGAAAAGATGCAACAAAGACAAACACAACCAAAAGGACCTCACCCTTTGACTTCTGCCTTGAAAACCTTAATACGCCACACTTGGCGTATTTTGCGGGCTGGCAATGCGAGCACAGCAGTCTGGCTTGGGTGCTGACGTACAAGCACATGCCCTTGCCCACGAAGCCGAAAGAGTGGTCTTCGCAAATCCTCGCGAAGCAGTCATGCAAGGCTTCTTGCAGCAGTGAATTGAGTCACAATCAAAACCCGGTATTAAACTAGTCTGCCCAGAACCATATAAAGAATTTGGAAGGCGGCCGCAGCTATTTCTGGTTGGGATCGTTCCTTACTATCCTTCATCTACCCGGGTTTTGATTGTGACTCAATTGGTACCGTGTTCATGGCACGGGAGGCTTGAACCCATCCCATCTCGCGGGGCAGTCCTGTTCAGGAAGCGGCAACCACCTTCGCGATTTCAGCACGCGAAGGCCACGAGGAAAAGGCAAGGTACGAGGCAGCCAGGTCTCACACCCACGTCTCGCAGGACCGCCACCCTGGATTTGCACTCCTCGCACACAATGGATCACAGGTGCACAGAATGCAACACCCAAGACGCCTCAATCTGTGCAAAGGTCGCATGCTACGGCAGGCTCCGGGCCACATTCGCGGCCCACTTCCTGCTCGAGTTCGAGATAGTGCTGACCGCCTTCGCTTGGAAACATCCTTCAGACAGCCGTGGCTCCACAAGCCTTTCATGCTGGGTCTCGCGCCTGCGCACCCAAGCTCACGAGAGTACAGCAGCCTGCCCAAACCCAAGGTGAGAAGCATGGAGATCATCCACCAGAAGGCACCGGTGTTGGCCGCACTCATGGTATCGATTTTCTTCTGCCGCTTTCCACTTCGAAAACTTAGCTCGACGACAAGCAACGCCTTCGGACGAGAAGCAAACTCGCCTATTGGCAGGGAGGCACCATTCGGTGACTTGCCGATCCACCACTGCGTCCAACCTCATGCAAGGCAAGCTTGAGACCCCCCACATCTGCGTGGTGAGGCCCCGGCAAAGGCACAGTCGTAAAGGCGAAAATCCTGCCAGGAATCAACCAGTTGGGTCTGCTGGGAAAATTCCAGCACAGAGCTGGAAAGACTCCGCACTGGTTGCTAGAAACAAAGCCCGCAAGCCCATTGTGGCTCCTTGCTTTTCCTATGCCAACTGTGTCCACGTAGACATCTGCTTCCATCTTGACCAAACTCCACTCTTGTGCAGCCAGGGGGCAAGCGCCAAGCCATTATCAGGGCCAGGATCAGTGACTTAGAGCGAGACACACCCGTAAAGACATCGTAAAGACATCGTGAACACAGGTCAGTCAGGTTGAACACAAATGGTGTTGGTTTTGGCGTGGTATGCGTTTACCAGTTCCACGTTCTTCCCAAAGGACACCTGAGTCACAATCAAACCTGGTACTAAAAAGAGACTCCAATAAAACCAACAAAAACTCAAAGGGCTGCCACACCCGTTTATGGGGAGTGTCCCTAGTATCTTCAATCGAATTGCCCACGTTTCATTGTGGCTCGCCTGACTTTTTTTCAAGCTGAGCAAATGGCACCCACCGAGTAGACCTCGCTGCATCGGCTTCCGCAAAAACGACATGGAACCCACACTGCGCAGGTCCAAAACGCGTCCAAGCGGCGCATAGCCTTGTGGACGAGTGGGTCATCTGGCCAATCTGAGGGGCTCAGGCCGACCGTGCTCCGGTATAAACCTGACCCCTCAAATTTGCGGAACCCACTATACCAATATCCCAAGGCGCCCCTGCACAAAGGACTACAATAAAGTTGACTTGATGCTGGAGGTGTGTCTGCGGGAACCATTGAGGGGGTCGCACTTGCGCTAAGGGACCCACAAAGCCCATGACTCCAATGAGGGCCATGGCAAAGCTCGCAATGATGCAAATCACCGTCGTATACCTCGCTTCACAACGCCGGTGGGATGGAAGCTCCCTCAAATCTAAAAAGGTGGTCTTGTTTTAGCAAATGGCAAGTGATCATGCTTTGTGGACCCAAAGTCATTAAGGTGTCTGCAAAAATGGCACGCGAAACCGGCTCTCAATGCAGCGAAACCGCAGCTACTATGTTCTTTCAGCGGATAACTATGCACCGTGCCCAGCTTGGATGGCACGCCGACTTTGAAACATCACAGAGACACCAAATGTATTTTGGTTCTTGACTCGGCGACTTCTGCACATGCATAGCTGCAGTGAGCAATGGCTTAAACACAGCTTCTCCAGAAAGAGCCTGTCACCGGCATGTGCGAAGTGCCAGTGCACACTATGCGGACATTCCGGTTGGTTGAGGCCACACCGGAAGACAAGCACTAAAGGCCTGCAGGCAAGGAGGACACGCATGAGCAAGGAATGTGTGTGGTTCCCCCCGAATGTGGGAAACTGGGTAAGCCCCGCAAAAGAATGGACAATCCCTGGAGTAAAGGGAAACCAACAGGAAACCAATCACGTGACACAATGTGTAGGGGTCCCCTGTTTGAAGACACACTCCAAATGTCAAAATGTCTGGGTATGGGTCAAAATGAAAGCCACCAGGGGACCGCAGGTTTAGTCCATCTTTCCACATACCGTGGTTCCATTCTGGGTACCTATTTTTGACCCACAGCCATGTCCTCCGAGGAGGCTAACACTGCTCATGTGATGTGCTAGGCACGGGCGTGCAAGCCCCAAGGCACGGGAGTGGCGAGTGACAGCACCCTTTGCACGCATCAAGGTGGGGGATGTGGCCACCCGTGGGCGCTTTCAGTGTCTGTGGTGCAAAAAGAAACGCAAAAGTTGAGTCATAATCAAAACCCAGTACTAAAATGGTCGACCCAGAACCATGTAAAGAATTCAGAAGGCGGCCGCAGCTATTTGTGGTTGGGATTGTCCCTTACTAACCTTCATCTACCCGGGTTTTGATTGTGGCTCAGTCGGCAAACCGTGTAACATCAAAATTGTACACACAGGAAGCAGTACCGGACCTGAAAACGCCGAAAGCGCTCGATCGAATTTTGCACTTTGGCCAGGGCTTGCTGCTTGTCAGCGAAGCCTTGATTGGGTCCCCAAAAGAGACCCAAGCTTAGGGACCAGGACGTCACGAAAAGGCCCCTGAAGCATCAAAACGGCGTAGCTTGGTCAGCGACAAGTGCACTTCAGCGCAGTGTCGAAAGCACGCGCAAGAAAAGTTGCCAATCAGGTCAGAGGCAAACTCGTCTGTCAGCCTCAACCGAGGACCTGAACGGCTCCGCGGAAGTTGCGCTCACGAATGCACTGAATCAGAATGGTTTGCAAAGACTCGCAGAAGGCATGCTGATTCCTGGCCTATGCGGAGAAAAAGGTTCAGGTCCCTCATGCCTGGAGCGAGCTAAACTGATGTCCAATGGATGTAAACGCATGTTGTTTCTTCGATGTCAACTCTGGAGCTTCCATTGTCACATCTTATCCTCTCACCCCTCTCATCTGACATCCTCTCCCAGCGCACCGCTTCATCATGTGGACCCACTCGTCGAAATCCAGCGTGCCGTCCCCATCTCCTGGGCAAATGGGCAAGCAGCTTCGCACGCAGCTCCAAAGCAAATTCCTGACACAACCCCTGAAGGATCAAATAGGAAACGTCTCCATTTTGCAACCTTCAGTGCGTTGGAACTCGCTTGCTTTCTACTCCCCTCCTAAAAGTTTAACTTTTAGTGGCTTGGTGGAAAACCCATTAGTTGGCAAAAAGTTAAAGTCCTAACATCCAAGCAAAATGCACCAAAGGGATGGTTGTAGGCCTTTCAGGCTTTGGGCCACCTTTGGGGCGGTGTTTTGGAAAACCTGGGCCGCCCGGCGGTCGAACTGCTGCATCACCTCCTGCGCCAACTCCTCGCACTTGGCACGGGACCAAACCCGGCCAGCGCCTGCCAAAGCGGGAGGGCACCAAAGGCGTTGGCCTCTCGTTGCCTTTGCTTGCCAAGATGGGTATGGTCGTCAAAAATGGGGTAACCCCAAAATGGGTTGTGCTAAATTGAACGACTAAAACCTGCGGCCCATTTCCTGGGTGTTGGTTTAATTCTGAGCCATGCCCATAAGGGTAGCCAAAGGCTTTGGCGGATGCCTTTGGCATCCGAATTTCCTTCGCCTTCGTCATTTGTTTCGGTTTCCTTGTAGAGTCCTTAAAGGTTCCTGGTCATACGCCTCGAAACATGACTCCCGCCGTCAACGCTTTGCACGTCACTTGGAGCGAAGAAAACTGCATCTAAGTCAACTCCCTGTCGCTGCCTCGCGTACCAGCATGATTCATTCAAACCTTGTGCTCGATGTTTTGGGTGTGGCTCGCGCTTGGGGACGCCAAAGGCTAAAAGTTTTATTCCGTTTACCTGTTCCGCGCCAAGGTTCTGGTGGCCTATGCTTGAGATTGCTTGAGGTGGTTTGGGGCAGGCGATGCTCACAATGCGCTCACAAATCTTCGTCTCTCAATTTGCTGCTGAACCTACCGGAAAAGGGTTCCCTCCTCTTGACACCTTCGCCAGTTCCAAAGAGGATTTTTGCGTGAGCAAATGCCTTTTGTGCAGCATTCAATAGGATGTCGCAAAAACCAACTGTGATCCCAGCAAAACACCTAATATTCGAAACCCAACGAAGTCACTTTCAATGACCCGGCCTGCATCAAAGAGTACGTGCGCAATCTCTGCTTGTGTGACCACCCCATCCGAGTCGTGCACGTCAAAGGCCTAAGGCAGGTGCCACCACCTTCTTGGTGTGGAGGTATGTTGATCATTTGGCTGTGGGTCAAACATAGGTACCCAAAATGGAACCCTAGCAAATGGAACCAAGAACTAAAATCTGCGGTCCATATCCTGGTGGCTTAATTTTGACCCACACCCATTTGGGTTTGTGTCCAGGCAACCCCCCAAAGTGCGAAAGGTTCCCCTAGCAGCGAGAAGGGTACTAAAAAAGACACATCCGGTAGGAGCGGACATTGCGTGTATCTGTTTCCACACATTTGCGGGTGCAGATAAAGAGCACCACGCCTTGAAGGCTGCCCACAGAGCTTCCACCTTGGGCATGCTGGTCGGGGCTCAGGAGCTTTCACCGCTGAGCTGCCGACTTCCTGGTTGACGCGTTTCCCCAGACCGGCCGCCAGAAACTCGGTGTAGTCGATGGCCTTTTCAAGCGCGCGAGGGCGAAAATGGCGCATGGCTCTCTCGAATTGGGTACAGTACCCAACGGCAAGAAAATGGGAACCCAGCAAATGTTTACCCGTGGTTGGTTAAGATGGCGCCCATGTCAGAGGGAAGCCGCACCCTTTCACCAGGTTCTTTCACGTTTCACCGGGACCACATACCAATCAAGGATATTGCACTGGCCCGCTCAGGATTCTGGGAATGCGGCGCCGGATCCGTCGATGTCCAAGCGCTTGAACATCGCCTTCAAGTAACTGGCCATGCTGTGATTCACTGAAAAGCTGCGACACCTAGAAGGAAGAGCAGGGCAATCCCTTTCATGCATCAGCCAAGCTGCATCTATCTCGTCCAGTTGCCTTGGATTGATACGAGCGGGATGGCCACACCAGTTTAGGGATGCCTGCAGCCTGCGTGAGATATGAGCTGCCATGAGTCACGTGAGCTGTGCGCCAAGGTTGAGGAAAAAAAACTCCTGGTGAAGGCCTGTGCGCTTTCCTTGAAGCCATCACAGGCTGCTCCCATCAATCCCAAGCCCGCAAGCAAATTGAACCGTAGCGAATGTGGGAATGTGTTTTTTAAGAGGCGTGGGATGGCATCAAAACAGGTCGGACCAAGTCAAAGCACCACATCTGTGTGTTTCCCCTTGAAATCTGCCTCCAGGAAGGGACAAAAATAGCGGCGGCCTCGCAACGGCCAACAAGTCCATGCCGCCGATGCAAAAACGGAGCCGTGCCAAGCCACTCTGTGCCTTGGCCAAAGATCTGCTCAAAACCATCGCGGACCTGCGAGTTGGATGTCGAGTCGGGTCGCAACTCCGAGCTTCTTTGGTTCATACATCCATATGGAGGTGTCTTTTTTGGAGGGTGCCCCTGCTTTCTGGTCTTGCAGGCTTGGGCCCCCCCCCCCCGCACTTGCGGTGACCAACCAAAAAGCAACCCCGCAGACCCCAACTTCACGCAAATAGACCGGCGACTGGAACATCTTCCCTGAATATGTCTCAAAAATGGAGGGGGTCCAAATCCGCTGACATTGCTCGGCGTGTCGGACACTTAAGAGAGGATAGAGGATAACCCGGGTACAGGGGGGGGGGGGGTCCCCCGCGTACCACGCGGTGATTTGATGACGTTCCACTAAAGGTAGTCTTCGGGGAGCCGGTGTCACAAAACATGGGTCCCAGGCTCGATTCCCCCTGCCAGCTTTTTGCTGGACTGGGGAGCCAAGGGGAAACGCAAGGAAGCGCAAGGAAAAATCTGGAAAAACTCTGTGCTTTTGGACGTCCTCTTTGCGAAAGCGCTGGAAAAACAGTGTTTTTTGCGGGAAATACTGGGGAGCAAAGGGGAAATGCAAGGAAGTGCAAGGAAATGAGGGGAGGAAATAGGAAGTCCACATGTCAGGAAAGCAACGGAAAATGAAAGGGAAACAAAGGGGAACTGAAAGGGACATGACAGGGACAGAAATGAAAACGAGGGGAGTGCAGGGGGAATGACAAGGAAACAAAGCGCAATGAAACCAATCGGCACGACGGGAGATGTAGGGAAATGACTCGCAACGAAAGAACGGGACATGCATGGAAAATGACACGGACATACCGAGAAAATGTCAGGGACATGAAGGGGGGAGTTGACAGGAATGGAAGGGACATGACCAGGACATCGTGAAAAGGACATGAAGGGAAAATCAAGGGGAAAGCCAGTAGTGAGATGAAAGTTCAGGGTCATGAAGGGGCAGTGCCGGGATATCGAGGCAACTCAGGGGGGACGTGACGCTGCAATGCAGAGAGAGAGAGAGAGAAAGAGACAGGGAGACAGCGGGACAGAGAGAGAGAGAGAGGGAGAGAGAGAGAGAGAGAGAGACACAGAGAGCGAGAAAGAGAGACAGAAGACAGAGACAGAGCCAGAGTCAGAGAAAGAGACAGAGAAAGAGACAGACAGAGAGAGAGAGAGAGAGAAAGAGAGAGACAGAGAAAGAGAGACACAGAAAGACAGAGAGAGAGAGAGAAAGAAAGAGCGAGAAAGAGAGAGAGAGAGAGAGAGAGAGAGAGAGAGACTAGGTCCTCCAGTAGAGAGAGAAGAATTAGGGTACCCTTTTTCTGTAGAGGGGCGTGGACAGGAAGGAGACAGGCAGACAGAAAGAGACAGAGAAACAGAGAGAGAGAGAGAGAGAGAGAGAGAGAGAGACGGACAGAGAGAGAGAGAGAGAGAGAGAGAGAGAGAGATAGAGAGAGACAGAGAGAGGGAGACTCAGGAGAGAGAGGCTTGGGGGGAATGGGGAGGATGGGGAGCAGAGGGAGGGACAGCGGACGACAGAACAAATGAGGGAGACAAGGGAGAGAGGAAGAAGGAGAAAAGGGAGAGGACAATGTCGGCGGACTGAGCCGGAGGCTCTAAAGTTGTGGTTTCTTCTTGCTTATCCCTTCTCAACCCCACCATGGGTATGATTCAAGTAGGGCGACCCCAAAACTGGTGGCTTTCCTTAGATTTCCTTTAAACCAAACCAACGTTTGGGTATAGGTCAAAATTAAACCACCAGGAGACCAGGGCAACCCATTTTGGGCCCCTATTATTGACCCACAGCCGTTTAATAAGCGGTGCCTGCGACGCCCAACACGCCCAACAAAGGCCTCATGCAGCTGCAGCATGCCATCGCCGTTGGTGTCCAGCTGTTGGAAAACCTGTGCTGCAGGCATATGGGTACATCTCTTTCTCGGATCCACCATTTGGGACTTGTTGGCCTGTAAAGTCGCTCAAATGCGACACAAGGTCCGGAAGACACATGTCATCAAATATAATATGCCCCTTACAAGGGTTGTCTGTTGTGTTCCATGTGGCCATGGGTCAACATCCCGTACCCCCAGTGAACATCCCAATCCAACCACCAAAATCGGTTCCAAAATGGGTAGTGAATTCACCTACCAACCAAAATGGGATCCCATTGGTTCTGACCCACAGCCACATCTCTTTCTCGGTGCACTTGGAGTAGTTTTGAAGGAAAACCAAAAGGAACTCACCCATTTGGGGTCCACCATTGGAGACAAACACCTGCATGTTTCCGCGACACCTTCCAAAGTGGATGGTGGGCATAAATCCCTGTGTAAATGTTGTCCACTAAAGGGTCCCCACTAAAAAAGGTAACCTAAAATTGGTGAATTCACCAATCCCAAACAGAATGAGATCCCGTTTAACGGTTTTAACCACAGCCACATCTCTTTCTCGGTGCACTTGGATTTTTGACAAGAATGGTACGAATGATGTCTACCAAAGGGTCCCCACTAAAATCGGAAACCAAAAATGGGTGGTGGATTCACCCACCCAATATGGTACCATTGGTTTTGACCACCACGGCCAGGTGCGGCCACGCAGCCCACTCCAGCTCCTTGAGACCACGGCGGCTCAGCTGCTGCGCCACAGAGGCCGCGCAAAGGGACAGGAAGGTGGAGGTGTTGCTGAAGCGCTGCCTCAAAACCAAAGGAAACCCTAAACCCCGTTTTGGCGGATGCTTAAAAATGGGATTTCTTCCAAAAAAAGAAGAGAAACAAAGAAACAAGTAAATTTGGGTGGGTGTTTTTCTAGGGGTTGATTATTTTTCCATTCTTTTCAGCCATCGTTCTTTTCAAAAACCAGCCATTTCCGCAGGGTGTTTGGTGGTTTTCTAAAAAGAAGGATCCCTGGAAAGAATGGGGAAGTGACCCCTAGAGTGTTGGGATGCCGAAAGGTGGGTCGAAAATCAATCGGGCCCCCTCGAGAAACTCCACTGTGGAATCATTTTTGGCTGTCAAACTTGGTGTTGCCCCCAATGAAAACAGAGACATCTGCGGTCTGGGTGTCCGTAAGTTCGAGCCACAGCCTGCCCCCCAAGCAAGCAAGCCTGTCTCAAAAAAGAAGGACACCCTCTTTGAAATGGTCAGACCCGCATCCATTTGAAATCCAAAAGGCAGGCCAAGTGGCAACTTGCATTCACCAAGTTTAGGTGCCATGAGCCAGTGTCAAAGTACCAATTCTTCCAAGCGACAAATTTGCCAGCACCTCCTTCGAAGCCATGGTCACTGAGGGAATCGGCGTCCTCGGCACAAATTTGCAGTCCCGCATGGGAGAACTCAAGTAGCTTAGGTCAGTAGCCAGTAGCAAATAGGGAGTGAGTACAGACCAGGTTCCCAAAATTATTCCTCGACCTGAAAAGGGAAAAGGGACTACTGAAATGTCTTTCTGCTCTTTAAAGCCCTTGCTCAAGAGGCCCGGCCGGCCCATTAAAGCCAGGACCACACAAGACTGAAGACAACTTGGCAGACCCGATTCTGACCTCAGGCGTTTCAGGTTTTTCTCTCTATTATTGCCTTTCTTGCGTGGCTCCCAATTCTCACCCAAATAAATCCTACCATGTGCCCTGTCAAATGTCATGGAGGGACGGTCAAAGCAGGGGACATCAACCTGGATTTCTTTCTTTGCCTCGCGTGGAAATGCCACAACACTGGGCTCTCCACAGAAGATTGAGGGCGGGATAAGCATCTGTGCAGTGTTCCCAATTAAATCTAATAGCCATATGTGCCATGATCAAAAGACCCCTTTACTTGGGGTTGGTAGATCATTGGTAAGAATCGTTGCACAATCAGTGTAATTGAAGGTTCCTATCAAGCGAACTTTGTTTATGTCCTTTGAGTCCAATCAAGGAACCCGTGACGGCCCCAAAGAGCGAAAGACCAGCTTCCGAGGCGCTTCAGCCAGGGATGCGCCAGCACCTCCTGCGCGGAGGGCCTTTCCTGCGGGTCCCAGCGCAGCAAACCGTTGACCAACTCCACGGCCTGGGGGGAGACCCCGGCCCAGGCCGGGCCCACCGCTTCGAAGCTCTCGGAGTTCCTGAAGGGCGGCGCGCCTGCGAGGGGTCAGATTCGTGGGAACCCCAAGGGAAAGGCGCGAGGCCGCCAAAATCATATTGGAAACCCCGACAAAAGGGTCCGTCTTCAAAATGACATGTTCTTGCCTTTGGCACTGTCCATCGCGATTCAACCATTCTCCAAACGCTTCCGACTCCGAGCTCAACTTCTACTCGAGAAGAAAAAACACTCAACCCTTTCATAGCAGGTAACACGGAAAACTGCCTCAGGCAGCCTGTGGCAAACCAACCCCCGGGTTTGTTGGCTCCGCCTGAGAGCATCACGCAGGCCGTGGCCCCCAGGCTCCAGAGGTCGCAGCTGCTGCTGTAGGCCTTCCCTGCGCGCACCTCCGGCGCCGCGTAGGCGCCGCTCCCCACGGAGCTGGTCATCTTGGCCCGCTTGAAGTAGAACCCCAGGCCCCAGTCGATCACCTTGACGTGGCTGTCCTGAAACAAACTCTTCAGGAGCGCCCAGGGATTGATTTCTGGGAAAACCGCACAAAGACGCCTTGACTTGAGTGCCATTCAAGGTTTTGCGGCCAAGAATAATTTTACTTCTGTCACGGCTGAACCCCCCCCCTGTCCTGAGAGTTTTCGAAGCAAACGTTCTCCGGCTTCAAATCTCTGTGAGCAATGCCCTTGTCGTGGGCATGCATCAACGCTGAAGTGACCTGTCTCACCACCTCGATGACTTGAACCTCCGGCAGATTCTCCTGCTTCTCGCTCTGTCGCAGCAGGTAGTCAAACAAATCCCCGCCAGAGCAGTACTCCATGACGAGGTACACATAGCGCCCGTCGTCGTAGCTCTCATAGACAGTACAAATGTTGGGGTGATCCAGTTCCTTCATGATATGCACCTCCTGCTGGAAGTTCTCCCGCATCTCGCTATCCAGCATGATGGCCTTCTTGATGGCCACCAAGCGCCCTGCCATCTTCTTGTCCTTCGCCAAGAAGACGCTGCCGTAGCCCCCGGCCCCCAGCTGCTCCTTGTCGATCTCGTAGCGGTTCCGGATGTCCTCGTCCACGTGGTCAGGGATCAGCGCCTTCAGGTTGATGGCCGGAGCCTTCGAGGGACTTCGGCTGCTTGGAGTGCCCTGCCCGGTGAGCGGCAGCAAAGTGCCCGGCAGGTTCCGCGCGGGGCTCGACACGGGGCTGGCCACCGGGCTCTTTCCAGGCCGCAAGGCCCCTGCAGGGAGCTGCAAGCCCGGCATGGCCAAGCCGCGTTTCAGCGGGCGTAGAACACAACTTGCCTAAGAAAACTGCAGTCACCGCTGGTTGCGTTTTGCCAAATGGAGCTGTCTCAGTTGCCTGTGGCTTCGCATCTCTGCCCTGCGTAAAAGGCCAGGGCTCAAAACCGCGCAGTCGCACTCAAGGCAAAATGATGCATTGCTGCAACTGGAGCGAACAAACATGTGCCTGAGAGCTGCAGTATGCATTATCAAACGTCTGCATTTCAGGCCTCACAGATTGACTCATCGGAGGAAGATATCCTACTTCCTCTGACGCGCCCTTTGACTGCACTTCATACCTGAGTGTTGGAAAACTGGCTTTGGGCATTGAAGCATTGGCTGGTTGGTTGATGGCTGACAGCAGCTTTCGCATGTAGCTGTTCGCGCTTGACGCTCTCCAGTCTTGGCTCTAGGCAATCCTGACTTGTCAGAGTTCACATTCCTCCGGTCTGGAGATCTAAGGTGCCGACATGTCTGAGACGATGTCATAACTTTCCAGGCTGGCAATGTGAAGGAAGTTTGCGCCCCTTAGCTCCGCAGGATTGAAGGCTGTACGCTTCAAGAGTAGCCGCAAGGCTGCATTTCACGACCAGGAAGTGCCGCGCTCAAGAGCACAGCTTACAACATTGGCTGACACTGCTGAGACACCCTGCGCAACACATCCGGTCACGGTGATGCAAACCTGAAGCGAGCAACTTGCCAACTCCGGAATCCCGAGCAAACTCATGCAGTTCACGTGGAACTTGACCAAGGACACAGCCGAGAAGATGCGCACAAACCAAGGGTTGTCTGGGTAACACCTGCCAAGCTCTGCATCAATTTAAACAAGCAAGCAAGCAAGCAAGCAAGCAAGCAAGCAAGCAAGCAAGCAAGCAAGCAAACAAGCAAGCAAGCAAGCAAGCAGAGACAGACAGACAAACTACATGGGTATGTGTCCAAATAGGGACCCCTCAAAGTGGTGTTCCTTTTGGCTTTCCCTTTAAACCAGCTCAAATGCGGCACCAAACAAACAAGCAAACAATCAAACAGCAACAAACAAACATGAAAGTTTTTAGGTTCCGAATGCGCTCCTGGAAACCTTCTCCCAGGATGGCATCACGGCTTTCCTCCGCTCATTGGCACGTCTCAAGATGGGGGGGGAGCCCTGCAATGGTTGCTTCCCTGTTGGTGTGCCGCGAAACCCAACCAAAAGGGGGGATCCTGAAAAAGACACATTCAAGTGGGAATCTGTCAAGTCTATGGCAACCACCTGCAGACCCGCAGCTGCCATAGCAAATCGATTTGCATGCGGTCCTCCAAGGTTTTGCAACCCATCAGTCGCGGAGCATGGCGCCCACGCACCCAGTGCGCCGCTCTGTACTTCCGACGGCTGGAATCCTAAGCTCAATGCTCGATGCGTCGAAAGTCTGTGACTTTGCTGCGGGTGGGTGTGCAGTTGGCTTGCAGAACCAGCTGGTCCAGTGAACTGCGGCAGATTGAGACCCTATCTGCAGTGGCCAGCGGAATGGCTTCATTTTGCAGGATGCAAGTCCGGACCATCCAGAGGCCGCAATCTTGTTTTGATCTTGGCAATGACTGCTCCCACCTTTGCAGGCGTTCTACATGTGAGAAGCAGGCAATTGCAGGGCGACACGGGGCTGAATGCCATCCGTAGGTTGCATACTTGTTTGGCTTGCAGCCTTAAGTCCAAAGAAGTTCAAATATAAGTATCAGTATAAGGTGCCGCTCCCCTCATCAATTTGCTCATACCCGCTTTGCAAGTGTCGTGACCGACAAGTTGATGACAATGATGAACTCGGCTGAACCGCAAAAAAGACAGCCTTCAAATATTCAGCTCCGAACATGCTGCAGAGGCCAAAGCCCGGCCATGAGCACATGGGGCCCTTTCCGTGCCTGCCTCAAGTCCTCCAGCGGCGTGGCCTCAGCGAGCGTTTGTTGAGCGGAAGCTCCCCTTAGCTAACTGAGTGTTGCCGGTGAATGGAGAAATGCGTTCAGAACACCATCCAAAAGGGAGGGTCCCCTATCTTAGGAAACTCCACAAAATCATATGCTGCCTGACATGTCCCTGATGTTCAAACTGCACTGGGACGGTCTATGAGAAGGCTTATTGATCTTGCCAGAGCTTCACGCAGGAGTGGCTCCCTGTTCAGCTGCCTGGCAATGGCATGCAACTTGAAACCTCTCTCTTGACATGTTCCGTGCCTGATCAAAGAGCTCCGGCATAGGAGCCTGCAACCCAGCCTGGCAATGGCATGCAACTTGAAACCTCTCTCTTGACATGTTCCGTGCCTGATCAAAGAGCTCCGGCATAGGAGCCTGCATCCCAGTTTGGCACCTCAGACATTCATGGAGGCTGATCCTTTGCTCTGGCTCTTCACTCCCGATACAACAGAAGGCGGCTTTCAAACAAACCTCAAAACGTCAGAAGAAGGGCCAAGCTGATCCTGTTAGCCAAGTCCTCCAGTCAAAAGGAGGGCGAACCTGATCCTCTTAACCAAGTGGCTGTGGGTCAAAACCAATGGGATCCCATTTTGGGGTAGGTGCACCACCCCAATTTTAGAGCCTATTTTAGTGGATGGATTGAATCGGATGTTCACTCGGGGTGCGATTTGGCTTTTGAGCCATGGCCAAGTGACCTCCAGTCACTTGGCCCCTTGGCTGGCTCAGTGAAACCTCACTCCGCCTCTGCCGCAAGGTTCTTTTCCGCCCGCCGCTGCACGCCCAGCTGCAGAACCAGGCGCCCCGTGTTGCGGTTCCGCCCGGGCGTCAAGTTCGGCCCGGCCTGAGCTGGCAACCGATCCCTGCACTTCTCTGGGGAAATGGACAGGGCACTCTGTTTGAGGACACCCGTGTTGGGTTGGTTTTAAAGGGAAGCCAAAAATGTGCGTTTTTTTTTGGGGGGGGAGTCCCGAGAAAAAAGAAATGGTGAAGGAATTGGGCCCGACTGTTTTCAGTTCAGCGCATCTGTTGCCCTGTGATGTCCTTTAATTTATTGCACTCACCCCCATCCCTCTCCGGCGTAGCCGACGGGGGCTCTGGAGTGCGGAAATGTGTGGCTGCTTCGTCCCGATTCCCAGCGGTCCATTCACAATCTACTCCATTGCTGCTGTTGGATCATGGCCTGCTAGCCTGACAACGCACTTGCACTCACACCAAAAGCGGCTCTAGCCTCGCATGTCTCAAACGTATTTGCTTTATTCTCCTCAACTTTCTGTATCTTCTGACAAAAAAAGAGCGAGCTAGGTAACCTCAAAATGCTTCTTCTTTTTGGGACCCCAGTGGTTTCCCTTGAAGAACCACCAAATAACACCAGCATAGACCCCAGATAGCACACCACGGATACGAACCATGACGCAGCATTATCATGATGATGTAGACCATGATGACACCACAGCCACGAAACAAACGCGCAGACAACGCCCTAATGAGATCAGCAGCATAATGATGATTTTGAGAGCAATCCGGCAGGAAAAAGCAAAAACAACGTCCTGATGAGTTCGACAGCATCATGATGATGCGGACAGCATCATGGTGATGCGGACAGCATCATGGTGATGCGAACAGCATCATGCTGATGGTAAAGGCAGCATCATGATGATACCACAGCCACGAACCATCTTGCGACAGCTTAATGAAATTCTGCATCATCCTGATGTTGACAGCATCACGGCGCCACTACACCCACACACCATAACGTGGGAACATCATGACGATACACCAGCCACGAACCGTTACACGCGAACAGCATCCACCAGCACCCCAAACATGCCCCCTAGCACCCGGCATCCACCCGCGCCTCAAACTGCATGCCCCTTAGCCCGGCCGTCAAGCTCGCAAAGCAGCATCCACCAGCACCCCAAACTGCATGCCCCCTAGAACCGGCCGTCAAGCTCGCAAAACAGCATCCACCAGCACCCCAAACTGCATGCCCCCTAGCACCCGGCCAGCTCGCAAAACAGCATCCACCAGCAGCCCAAACTGCATGCCCCCAGCACCCAGCCGTCAAGCTCGCAAAACAGCATCCACCAGCACCCGAAGCTGCATGCCCCCCACCCGGCCGTCAAGCTCGCAAAGCAGCATCTACCAGCACCCCAAACTGCATGCCCCGTAGCACCCGCAAAGCAGCACCCACAAGCACCCCCAACTGCATAGCACCCCGCCCTCAATCTCGCAAAGAAGCATCCACCAGCACCTCAAACTGCATGCCCCCGAGCCCCGGCCAGTCGCAGCAAGCAGCATCCACCAGCACCTCAAACTGCATGCCCCCCAGCACCCGGCCGTCAAGCTCGCAAAGCAGCATCCACCAGCACCTCAAACTGCATGCCCCCTAGCACCCGGCCGTCAAGCTCGCAAAGCAGCATCCACCAGCACCTCAAACTGCATGCCCCCTAGCACCCGGCCCTCAATCTCGCAAAGCAGCATCCACCAGCACCTCAAACTGCATGCCCCCTAGCACCCGGCCCTCAATCTCGCAAAGCAGCATCCACCAGCACCTCAAACTGCATGCCCCCTAGCACCCGACCGTCAAGCTCGCAAAGCAGCATCCACCAGCACCTCAAACTGCATGCCCCCTAGCACCCGGCCCTCAATCTCGCAAAGCAGCATCCACCAGCACCTCAAACTGCATGCCCCCTAGCACCCGGCCGTCAAGCTCGCAAAACAGCATCCACCAGCACCTCAAACTGCATGCCCCCTAGCACCCGGCCCTCAATCTCGCAAATCACTTTCCCGTCTTTATTAGAAGTTAGAACCCCTATAGCTTTCAGCTATCTGGGGAAAAAAGGCGCCCTCAAAAAAAGCACGCCCACATAGAGTCACAATCATCGCGAATCGGTTTCTCTAGGTTTGTGTCTGCTGCCTCCGAAAGTCAGATGTAAGTCCAATTCTGAGGCAGATGCGCTGTCTGGGGGACCCTCATGTTTACAAACCATGCTTGTACCGGCAGGGAGGTGGTTACTGAGCTGAAGTTGTGGCATAGCGGCCATGAGGATGCGCCAAGCTGCATAGAGCAAGGCATCTCCACACGTCACCCGCACGGTCTCGCCGTCCACCGGCTCCAGCACCTTGAGCCCGGCTGAAAGGAGCTCTCCGGCCCCTCCAAAGCAAAGGCTCAGCTTCCTGCGTCCCCGCGCCGCAGCTGGACCTGCCCAGAGTCCCACAAAATTTCCTCATGCTGAAAACTGGGAATCAGACCCCAGAGTGAGTTCTGGCCTTTGCTGGGGTTTTAGGGAGGCAGTCGAGCCAACTCGCCGCTTGTTTTACCGCCTTCTCCAAGTCAACCGGGCAAATCAACCGCGACGGATCCCACCTCATGGCCATCGACTCCGCGCGCCACTCGGGGACTTTGCAAGGTGCCGGTGCTCTGCCATTCCTGGTCGGTCGTCTCACTTCCAGTCGAGGGCCAAAAAATATATGACACTGGTTGTGGCCCAAACCCAAGTGACTGAAGTCCATGAACTCAGGGAGCGAGCTCCTGCTCTTCCTTTCTAACTTACCCTCCCACACATGGTTGTGTGCACAACCCTCCCTTTCCAAGAGGAGAATCGTCTTCCAAAAGGGGTCTGTGCGCTTCCATGTTGGGAGGATAGCTGATCGTGTCTATGTTTCTGCCGGACCCCTGCAAAAACTCAGCCTGGCTGAAGATGCAGAAGGAGGACAGCGATCTCAACAGCTGCTCCTCCCAGCGTTCCCACTCTCTCGAAAAGGCCAAGATGAGACAGGATCCTCCCGCACAAGCTCACCAGGTGTATAGGAGGTCACAGCCTCACGTCTATGTCTCGCTTTCTCTCTCTCTCTCTCTCTAAATTAGAGAATTGTGAGAGAAGGCCGCCTCCCTGTGGGCTCACAAAGCAAGACCAAAAACACCGAAATCACAAAAGGCCCCTATTCTTTGATCCGTTCCCATTCCCATGTCGCACGCCCAAATCCGAGGTCTGAGCCAGTAGCCCTCGCCCTGTCGACAGCATGTCCAGGGTGGGCTTCCACATGCTCATGTACCTTGGGAAACAAAAGGCCACCCACTGGAGGCGTTCCTACCTTCTAATCTCACAAAAAAGTTTTTAGGACCTTGCTGGCGGGGGGGAGGGGGGTTTAGGAGGACGTGCGCAAATTCCAGGACTTTTGGCACTCGGTGCCGCGCTGGGGCACGCCCATGCCCGCCTGAGAATGAACTCGGCGTTTGGGCCGTCTTGAGATGACTCCAAGGAATGCGATTGCCGCACACGCTGACAATGGTCGAGAATGGTCGACAACTGCCCAATGCACACTTGCTTGCAGCTCAGGCTCATTCATGGCCACGACAAGATCCGCCTGCATGCATTGCGTCTTGCAAAGAGTAGTAGTGCATCCCAGGCCTTTGCGTCTGGGTACACGTCGTGGTAGAGCCCGCGCCTGGGAGATAAGGCTACCTCAAAGGCTCCTCCCCATGCACTGGCATGCTCTCGCCCCTCGCTCAAAAGCCCAGCGGACTGTCCGGCACCTCAGCTCCAGCACCAGCACGCGGCCCTCCAACTCGTGGCTCTCCTGCGCATCCACCGCCACTTCTGGGCCACACATGCCTTGGCATGGCACCCCCGTCTGCGACCCAATGCAAAATCTCGATCACCCAGTTGAACGGGTCAGTCTCTTGCGAGAAAGAAAGAGCGGCGGCTTGATGATAAACGTGGTGAGAGCCATGATGTTAAATATCACACACAACACATACTCACCTCCACACACACTCACACACTGAGTTATTTGAAATCAATTTTGTCAAATTCTGGAATTTCCCTTTCTTCGATTCAAAAAAGCAATGTTTGTCCACAGGTCGCCCCGCAACTTTTAAGAGTCTCGGCGAGCAGAGTCGCCAAAACGCAACGGAGATAGGGTAACCCGCCAATCGAATACGCGGAGCCCGTCAATCGCAAACTGTCCCGTCCCGCCAATCACAGACTGCCATCCCACCAATCGCGATTCCTGAATCCGCCAATCGCATCCCAAAACCCGCCAATGGAATCGAACCTCGGAGCACTTGGTCAGGGGTTGAATTTGATGTTAGTTGACTTTGAGTTTGGTCGACTTTTGGTCAAGCGCAGTGGTCCAAGTTTGTCGGATTGGGCAGTCCATTGCCAGACTGAATTCAACCGGAAAATTCTTGAAATTTTCCGGTCAGATTCTCTAGGCTGAATTTGGTCTTTGGTCGGGTTTGCTCGAGTTTGGTCGGGTTTGGTTGAGTTTGGTCGAAATTGGTCGAGTTTGGTCGAATTTGGTCAAGTTCGGTCCAGTTTTGGTCAGGTTTGGTCGAGTTTGGTCGAGTTCGGTTGGATTTTGCTCGAGTTTGGTCGCATTTGTTCAAGTTTGGTCGAGTTTGGTCGATTTTGGTCGAATTTGGTCGCATGGGGTCTAGCGCTGTCAACTTTAATTGACTTCGAGTTGAGTTTGGTCGATTTTGGTCGAGCGCAGTGGTCCAAGTTGGTCGGATTGGGCAGCCCAACGCCAGACTGAATTCAGCCGGAAAATTCTTGAAATTTTCCAGTCGTATTCTCTAAGCTGAATTTGGTCGAATTTGGTCGAATTTGATCGAGTTGGGTCGAGTTTGGTTGGATTGTGTTCAAGTTTGGTCGAGTTTGGTCGAATTTGGTCGAAGCCTAAACCAAACCTGAACCAACCCTAAAACAGCCCTGAACCCACCCTAAACCAACCCTAAACCAACCCTAAACCAACCCTGAACCACGCCCAAACCAATCCTAAATCCACCCTCAACCAACCCTAAACCAGCCCTAAACCAACCCGAAACCAGCCCTTGACCAACCCTACACCAATCCTACGACCCAACCCTAAACCGACCCTAAACCCCAAACCAACCCTAATCCAAACTCAACCCAACCCTAAACCAACCCCAAACCAATCCTAAACCAAGCCGGAACCAATCCTAAACCAACCCTAAACCAGCCCTAAGCCAACCCTAAACCAATCCAAAACCAAACCTAAACCAATCCTGCACCGACCCCAACCCAACCCAAACCAACCCTAAACCAGCCCTAAACCAACCCTAAACCAAACCTAAACCAACCCTACACCAAGCCTAAACCAACCCTAAACCAACCCCAAACCAGCCCTAAACCAACCCTACACCAATCCTACACCGACCCCAACCCAACCCTGATCCAACCCCAAACCAACCCCAATCCAACCCCAAACCAATCCCAAACTCACCGCAGCCCATATTTGATTGCCCGGTTCACCTGACGCAACGGAGAAAATGACTCATTCTCAAACACTTTTGGGTCCCGAAGATCTACATGGACTTGCCACACAAAGACATGTGCAGCTAAGTGTCGAACATGGAGGCGCCTGCAACCTTGGCAAAGAAAATGGGACAAGACGTCCGCTTGCAAGTCCTGCACTTCCGCTTGCAGCGTCTCTAGACCCTTGAAGGGGCGAACTCGGAGCTGAGGCTGAAGCTCTTTGGCAGGACCTGCACATGCGTCACTTCCAGAGAGCTGCACTTCTCTAAGGCCGCATGAACCCAAGCACCAAGGCCAAAATATCTGGTTCGAGTCAACAGCTCCAAAGAAACGCCTTTCATGTTGCGAGCTCCTGCAATCCGACTACTCACTCTTTCACCGTCAGTGTCTGTGCATATTCAATTGAGCCATCTTGGAAGGTTTTGAAGCTTGAGCTTCTGGACATGCGATCAGGGCTTCCTGAAGATGTCACTTCCTTCTGTGTGCAAATGGATCAAATGGATCAAATGGAGCAAATGGATCAAATGGAGCAAAGGATCAAATGGATGCAGAGCAAGCCGCTGGGCAAGTGGATCACGAGCGCCTGGAGCAAAGCTTTCAGCTGCTGGTTGGGCTTCTCCAGCTCCAGAGCAGCCCGGCAGCCCAAGACGTCCACCAGAAGCTCCGCCTTGGAGGCCCCAAGTTCAGGAACCCCTGGCGCCATAGGCAGGGAATGAGAAATGACCCCGATAAGCCCGTACTTTGTTCAAGGGGACCCCTGGGTTCAAGTTCATTCATTACATGTCTCATTCCCTACCTGTCGCACCAGCAAAAAAGGCAGACCGGTTTTGGAGACCCGGCGAGGCCTCTCTCTGAACTGCCAACCTCGACTGTAACTCACGTAGGATGAACCCTTTGGTAGACAGTGCACAAGTTTAGGCATGTGTCAACTGCGGAGAAAGGCAACTGAATGAGTCCACAGCAAATGATTGCTGTTCTGCCTGGAGGACACGATCCAGGACAAGCAGCAATCAATGTTCGCAATTGTCAGGTCAAGAGCGCCATGTGAACAAGTGCTAAGTCAATGCACCAGAGTTTCAACCAATCTCACACTAGAAAGTCAACGTCACACACTCCTCCTGTTAAAGGTTTGCTTGTTTAGCTTCTCTAATAGAGTTGCTGGTGAAATTGAACGGTGCCAGTGTCATGGTTGGCTGTAGCGTTTGGTCCCATACATTTGCGCGTGCGTGCGTGTGCACGTGTCATTCCCGAATGAGGCACTCGGTACGCGGCGCATTGCCAGCCCACTACTTCCACAGAAGCAACTTGAGCTCCCAATCGCCGCACTGAGCAACGAATCGCTGGCAGACTGCGCCAAGCCGCCTGCTCCCCGTGGACGTCGAAATACTTCAGGCAGAGGTCATGCAAAGTGGCAATGAAGGTCTGCTCCAGGGGAAGCCCGTCCTTCCAAAGGCTAGGCTCAATATGGCTATAAACAAAGATGTTCGAGTGGTTGGACCCTGGACCCTGACAGTCCAGTGGTTGGACCCGACAACAGAAGTATATGGGGGATGCTTGCGTGCTCCATGGCCAAGGAGTTGGATACCATCCCCCCTTTTCTTACTCCCAGGCCATAGCATCCTTTCCATAGGTGGCCTTTTGGAAAAATAGATGGCCCTGGTAAATGGAATAAACCCCATCTAAACCAGGGCCCTCCATTTTTTAAGCAAACCAACCAAAAAGGACACCTATGATCCTTTCCATCCACCATCCATCTGAGAGCAGCTTGCCGAGCCTCCTCCCCCGAAACGTCGGCCTGTCCGGCGGCCCTAAAGAGCCTGCAGGGAGGGCCAGATCGTCAAGGAGAAGCAGCAACTGGATCAGTCTGGTTCTACATGGCGGTGGGTCAAAACCAATGGGATCCCTTTTTGGGGTAGGTGAATTCACCACCCATTTTAGGCTATTTCCATAGCCACATGAGGATGTGTTCAAATAGGGAGCAACAGCAGCATGGTGATGGTCCTTCTTGTGTTCCTTTGAGCCAAGGTGAAGAGGGTGTCCTCAACAGCACGCACACACAGGAAAGTCTGCATTGGACGGAACGTGCTGGTCCCACAAAGAACATCTCTTATATCCTAAACCCCCGATGCTCATGAACCCGGTCAATAACACCTCAACTAGCAACATTGAGCGGCCGCCTACTTGCTTGCTGATCATGCTGGCGCATGCGCATTATTGCCTGGCATACGCTCCAGCCTTCGCCATCTTGCCTGGAGGCACGCACTCGTGAGACAAGCCAAAGTGGTGTGGAAGTCTTGGCCTCATTGCCGGAGCTCATCCTGCGCGACTCCCCACTCCCATGCGCGTGCGCACGCGACAGGCAAGCAGGTGTCTGTCTCTGTCCTCTCGCCCAGCAGAGCTGGGAACTCTTCCCGCACTGATCTCCAGTGTTGGCGCTGCTCCTCGGAGAGCCTCAGAAGTTGGAGCTTTGCGGACTGGTGTCTCTCTCTCTCTCCACGCTTGAGGGTCCGGCCTTTGAGACAGGAGAGTCATATCTGCCTCCCTCACCTAACACAAGTGCAAGAGGCATGTGCAATACCGGGGAATTGCAAAAAAAGGGGATCTGGGCTGGGGCTAATCAGGAACCCGCAGAACTACGGGTTTTGGCTGCGTTCTCCCTTCTATGAACTGGACTTGGTGTTCAAAACTCCTGGTGGAGATGGTCATGGTTCCCTTTGTCAACCCATGCCACAGTGCAGTGTGGCAAGGGTCGATGGCCTTTGCTGTAAGTTTCTTCCACCCAATTAAGGAAATTTGGAAACACCCCATCCCCTTTTCCCTTTAGCAACCGCCCTGGCTCCAGAAAACTAACTCTGGTACAGCCGTACGCAAGCAAAGAAGGAAAGCAAGCAACACAGCAAGCATAACAGCAAGCAAAACAGCAGGCAACACAGCAGTGCAAGACATGTCAGCAGAGAAGGTAAGCAAACCACTTTCGCCATATTTGCCCCAAACCTGCCGGACTGGGCCCCCGCGCCACCGCGGCGCCCGCGGGTTCCGCGGGTTCCGCGGGCTCCGGCGCCACCGGCGCCTGGACCGTGGCCTCCCCAGGGCTCGCTGCGGTGCTGGGGGCGCCTGGGCGTGTGGGTCAGGGCTCCGCGTTTACCAAGGCAGACTTGAACCCAGGCTGTCCCAAAAGGGGACTTCAACTTCCTGGGTTTAAGTCTAGGGCTAGTGAAAAAGCGGAGCCTTGTGGGTATGTGCAGAATATGCTGTTGCAAAAGGGCGTGGGTAAAGTAGTGGCTCCAGTTCCATCATCTCCTGGAGATCGATAACCAGCCCTAACACCCCCATGGGGATGAACTGGGTTTGCTCTTTGAGGTGACCGACAGCCCGGCGTGGCGGAACGAGGGTACCCCTTTTGGATGTCGTGTCAGGATGGGGCCCAAAAATGGTGGCGTTCTTTTTGTCTTCCCCTCTAAACCAACCTGAAAAGGGTACACACACAACACACAACACACACACACACACACACACCGCGCGCGCGTTTGTCACGTTTCTTCTTTTTTAGAAGCTTAAGTGGCGCATGTTCTGGGCTGGGGGGGCTCCAACTCAAAGTGAATGTTGACGGAGTTCGCATTCAAAAACGAGCTTGGACCAAACAAAAAACCACGTCCATACAAGAAACTGCCCTTTCTCCTGCCTGTCACAGCAACGTGCCATAGCCCATGCTCCTCAGATCTCTGGCGAACTACCACCCAGTCAGGCTTACCAACTCTTACCACCTCACATGCCAAAAGCCCGCAAGCTGCTATTACAAGAGCCTGGCAATAAGTTCCCCCAACTACAAAGCAAAATAGAAGCGCCCAAAAAGGCGAGAAGTCTCATCAGCTTTCCATGGAACTTTTTTCGGCTGGCCCCTCTTGTACCCTCTCTGGAGTCTATGGCAAGGACAGTCATGTCTGCCAAAGCCCTCCACGAGCCCATGGCAAGGGCATCTGATCTGCCAAGCCCTCCCCGTCCAACACGTCCACATCACGAGCCAAGGCGCCGCCAGGCCGCCCAACACCCCCAGCCGCTGGACCCCGAGGCTTCCGATCTGCACCCGGTCGCCCGGCCGGAAGTCCGGCGCCGCCCAGAGCCCAAGCAGCACCTCCTCACGTCTCGGGGCTCGGGGCTTGGGTTGATGGCCATATCCAACCAAGGGGACATGCCCAAACACCCGTGGCAAACTCAGCTGGTCGATGTGCTTAATGTTTTGTTTTTTCCGCCGGCTCAACGTTTGCCCGCGGAAGCTTGCTCAGGCCAAGGACCAGCGCTCCATGACTTCCCGGGTCACCTCAAACAAAGCTCGCTGCTAGACCTCTCCGCGCAATGAAGCGGTCGTAGTAGGTCTGGTTGAGCCAGGCCGGTCGTGGAAGATCGAAGGCCTCCGCCAAGATTTTCTCGGCTGCGACCAGCGGCTGCTCTGCCCAGGGGCCGTGCCAGGAGGATCTCTCGATGATGGCAAAGTCGTTGTTTGCGACGTGCAAACCCGAATCTCTGAACGCCCCTACTCCGTAGACTTTGTCCTCGTACTCCTGAATGCTGCCGCACTTGGGGCCATCCTGGTCGAAAATGACATCCTGGGGTCCGGAAAGAAGGCCGCGATCACCGGCTGGGAACGTGCCTTGATGGTACCAAACGGAGTATGCCACTGACGTGGGCTCCTCAATGGCCCGGATCTCCTCCTCGGAGAAGTGAACCTTCAGCTGATCATAGTGCATGGCGATCAGCTTCTCGTGGACGGCCCGGCGCAACGCCGCCTCCTCGCTCACGGTCAGCGGATCTGAGAGATTCCGCCGCGGCAGAGCTGCCCAGAAGTCCATGCAGTGCGGGAAAGCCACGGGACAGCTCTGCGAATGGCGATAGAAGACCTGCAGCACGCCTCGGCAGCGATCCCGCTGCGATGTGTGGCGAGCAGGACGCCAAAGTGGTTGCCCACCCGCATCCAGGCCGGAGCTGCACAGCACCTCGCCATCGTGATAGTGAATGGCCACTGGCAGCTGCGTCAAGTTCTCCCGCACTCCACGCAGCAAATTCAGCATGCGCACCCACCAGGCGTCCTCGTAGAGCGCATAGACCTTGGTGGTGGTGGCCCCTTCCGTGATGTTGGAGGGCAACGCCCGATCCGTGCATTGCATAGCTGGCCACCTCTCCGGCAGCCGCTCCGCCAACTTTAAGGCCGCCAGCCGAGAGCGCGGCAGGTTCAGCAGCGCCCGGCGCCCGCGCCACCGGGTCGCTGGTATTGGGACGGCGCCTGTGCTGTTGAACTCCAGCAGCCAATCGCCATGGCGCTCGATTCGCTCGATGCCAACCAACTCTGCTCCTAAGAAGATGCGCCCACCGAGCCCTTCGAAGCGACCAAGCATCGCCGAAAGGGCCGCGCCATATCCTCGGTGACGCCCGTCAAAGCCCACGATCTTCTTGAGAGGCTGCTGATACGGCCACTGCACCTCCCCACGCACATCCTCATCCTGGCAGGTGGGGTCATAACATTCACTCTGCAAATGCAAGGCGTCAATGAGATCCGAAGGCAAGTGCATGTCTCCGGCAAAGCGGTAGGCACCAGCATCCACAGTGAAGCCATCGAGCTCCGTGCTATAGGTTCGGCCACCTGGCCGGTGGTAAGCCTCGAAGAGGCAAACGCTATGCCCCGCTTCTTGCAAGCGCCAAGCAGCGTATGTGCCAGCCCAGCCAGAGCCGACCACTGCCACGGCGCAGGCGAATGCCATGGCTGGTGCTTTGCTTCGGGAGAGCGTCGCTTGATCCGAATTGCATGCCTTTTCTGGTTGGCTTCTCAAGGGAGGCTCCCTTGCATTTGTTTCGAGGATTTGTACTTTCTTTCAACCAGGGCTGGAATCCAGCTGTTTGGCATAGCCACCGGCTCTCCCTTTTGAGCCGAAGTTGGCTCTGCGAACCGTTGGGATGTGGCATGCGCTGGCACAACCTGAAACCGTGCGGTGGAAGCACCTTGAGGAGCCCGTCAGCAATCTGTTCCGAATGCCGGCAGCACCACCTTGAGCATGCGAGCAGCGATAATCCGATGGGTGAAAACTACTCAGGACTTTCCTGCAGGCTTCCCCTTGACGCCAAGGTGACAAGGGTCCCGTCAAAACCCGTTCCAAGCCAGAAAAACTTGGTTGCTTTCTGCTCCCCTGCCAAAAGTTCAACTTTCAGTGGTTTAATACCAAAAAACCCTTTCGTTGGAATAAAAAGTTAAAGCCCTAACATCCCTTGGCCAAATGCTCCAAAAAAAAAGGAAGAAAAACGTAACTGGCCAAACCACCCAACCCTCTCGGAGCGCGTCTCTCTGGGCTGTGGGCTGCAGAGCCTCGGCGAAGCGCCCGGTGGCCGCTAGGGCCACGCAGAGGCCCCCGTGGAGCAGCGCGCCCTCCGCCAACTCCTCGTCTCCCGACTCGACGCGACGTCCCGCGTCCCGCGTCCCGACTCGTCTCGGCTCGGCTTTCCCCTCTCACGGGTACGGTCACAGCGGCAGCTGCTTCTGGCTGGGCTTGTCCCTTAAGCTTCCTCTAACCCGGGTTTTGATTGTGGCTGTGACCATAGGTGGCCCTTTGGAAAAATAGATGGCCGTGGTAAATGGAAGTAAAAAAAACTCATCTAAACCAGTGGAACCCATCTATTTGTTTGGCTAAACTAAACTAAAAAAGGCAATGGTTACCAGCCGCATCTTTTGAGGAGCTCCCGCGAAGATTGGGCAAAACGTGCAGGAGCCTTAAATGTGCCCCGGGCTCTTCTGACCCGGCAGAACGACAAAAACCCGGCTGTACGAGGATGGTGGCCAACAAGGCAACCGCCATCCGGGCCATCCGGGCCATCCGGGCCATGTGGGTGGCTACCAGTCTTGCAAAGCTGCTGCCCCTTTCGACTCGGCATCCAAGTATTTCACCTCATCCCCGTCAGCACTGATCACGACCTAAGTCTGATTTGTTTGGCTTGTGCTGTACACTGGCTGCAGTTTTTGAGATTCCGGCCAGTGCTGGAATACCTCCTCGTCTGCCGTCTCCAAAAGTCGGTGATTCTTTTCCGCCCCAAAGCCGAAATCCCTTCTTCAGTGAGTCCTGGCCGGCTCTCTCTCTCTCTCTCTCTCTCGGTTCGGTGAAAGTCGCCTTTTCGGAGAAACCTTGCACTCGACTCCCGAGTCCTGCATCTGGGATCCATATGGCACCGAGAGCATGCCGCTGGGCAAGGTCGCCCTGTGCTTGTCGTACTCATCTTTGGAGAAGTCCGAGCTGACGAATACGATTCCTTCGCGCACTTTGGACCAAATGGAAACCACCTCTCAAAACCCATACCGCATGAGTCCACTCTGGAACGCAAGCCACAAAATAGGCCGGATTTTCGACCTCAGAAAAGCAATCAGACATGCCCAAGGCTTGACCTGGACAAACGTCGCTTCTCCGGGTTCTTCTCCATGAATTGGTTCAGCTGCGGTGTGAAGTCCCGGCACATCGGGCACCAGTCCCCCGCAAAGTACAAAGCCACGGACTTGCCTCCCGCGAAGGCCTCGCTAAAGCCCACCTCGCGCGGCCGGCCGCGCGCGCGAGCGCGCGAGCGCGCTTGGCGCGATGGAAGGTCACCACTTTCGAGCCGCAGCGAGTGACGTCCAAAGCCACAAAACAAAAAACGGATGAACAGTTCTTTGATCATGGTTGGCTTACTACTCAGGAAATCTGCCAGAACCCATGGATCAACCTGGTTGGCTTACTTGTACTGCTCAGGAAATCTGAGCGAACCCATGGATCAGCCTGCCCAATCGGCTCCGGGAATCGCAGGTCATTGGGGTGATTGAGCCAATGAGACACTGAAACGCCAAGTTGGAACCAGATTCCGGATAGAAAACGATCACCATTGCGGTGGGCCGATGTCAATGAATTGTGCATGTTCAAACTGGCAGGTCCACAAGCTTGAGAAAGAAGCCGGCATGTCCAGCGAGATTCTCTCTGAGAAACAGTTGTACTGCATGCCTGCATACTCATGGTGTGACATGTTGCTTTGGGTTTGGCGTTCGAATTATTTGCTGACCCAAGGACCTTCAAACGGCAGATGTCGGTCTCGGATTAAGGCAGGTGTGGGCCTCTTTGGGATGATACTCGCTGGCCTGTAAAGTCGCTCAGCCAATGCGACAGAAGGTCCGGGAGACACATGTCATCAAACTTTAATATGCCCCTTACAAGGGTTGTCTGTTGTGTTCCATGTGGCCATGGGTCAAATCCCGTACCCCCAGTGAACATCCCAATCCCCATTAAAATAGACCAAAACGGGCGGTGCACCTACCCCGAAATTGGTACCGTTGGTTTTGACCCACGGCCATGGGTCCCTGGCGCATGGCTCGAGCTCTCGGCCTCCTTGTTTCCGGCGTCCACCAAGGTCTGCTTGCTGACGGGGACGGACTCTGCGGCCATGGCTCCCACCACCAGACTTCTGCGGGCCGCGCTCGCCGCGGGGACGAAGGACCTCGCGGCTCGCAGGGCCCCGGCGGGGGCCAGGGAGCACGGAAATGCCCAGCCGGCGGTTGGGCTCCTGCTTATTTCTCAAACCGAAACGGGCAAGGAGGCGGGTTTTCGCCCAACCCCTGTGGACTAGCTGAAGAATGCAAGCAGGAACCCCTCAAGAAGGCTGAGTTGCTGTCTGATGTGTGGACCTTGGCGTTTAGGCTTTAGATTGTCAAGGTCGAGGTTTCGGTCAAGGTTTGAGGGCTTGATAGATGAGGTTTGACTGCGTACAAATGTCAACACAAGGTAGGAATCTGCTTGCAACCTTTACATGAATCAAGATTGACATTGTCACATGTCTAAGACATCTGCAAATCTTGCTTCTTCAGCCTGGCTTGGATTCTTGGAGAACTCCTCTTGGTGAGCGACTCTGCAAGCGGGAGGGAGCAAAGAGCTTCAAAGCACGGAATCCAATCAAGCTTTATTTCTGCACAACAGGTTTGGAGATCTTGTTGCATGATGGAGCCTGCCACCCTGTGGCCCTGTGGCGCGTCTGGCCTGGAGCAGGAAGTCCAAACTGCCGGCGTCACGAAGCCAGCACACAACGCTGCAGCACGCAATCTACCCGCGCGCAGCACTCTCATGTTGACTTGGGCCAGCGTTGCGGACAGGCTCTCAGGCTCTCATGCTCTCGGGCTGAGCAAGTCTCAGTGGCTCGGATCAAAACACCGAAACACGCCATGCCTTGAGTGGAGGTCTCCTGGTCACCCAACTCCAGTGCTGCCCTTCCCTTGGCCAGTCCTCGCAAACGTGAGCTGTGAGACTCGCTCTCAGGGTCCATTGGGGCTAAAGGACTGGGGTCCACCATGTTCAGAGCATTTCAGCAAATCCGGATTCTCGACATTGACTCTAGGTGACTTTCCTTCTGGTTCTCCCTTACATCCCAAAAGGCCGCTTCACCCTTTTGCAGCGGACCCAGATCCTTGCAACGGTCACTCCAAACAAACCGCCGTCCTTTTTCCCACTCCCCCGAGTCGAAGCATGCCAAAGCTTGCCTCAGCTCACGCAGGTACTCCCAAAAATACGAGTTGGGCCCTGCTGTTGGCGGAGGGATGGTAATCAACCGCTAGGGGTTTCAGACAACCAGCAAGGTTCCTAAAGGAGCCATAACCAATGACCCACAGGAGATGAAAGCCGCGGGAAGCATGGCTTGGCAAACTATCCAGAGAGTCTGCAGTTTTGACCCGAGATGTCAGCTCGACTCTGCTGCCCGGCGGCTCTGCTGCCTTCTCTGCAAACTTCCGGCGCCGCTCCATCAAAGGCTGCGCACCCCGCGCCAAAGAAAAGACACGTCAGCGGCTGAGGGTCAATGGCCTCTGAGGTTGTTTGGTGGATCAGCGAAGAAACTGTATGCCACCAACCCGAATCCTGGGTCGGCGAGGTTCTTCGCGAGATGCTGTGAGTTTGCTTGTTGCCCCGGGGCATGCTGTTGAGGTATGCGCCTTGGCTCCCAAAGAAATGAAGACTGAGATGCCTGTGCACAAACACAGACAGAGCGAGAGAGAGTCTGATGCCATGTCAGTATTGGCAGCATCCAGGATGATTTGCCTTGTCACTAACCTTGAGCCACTCCCAGAGCTGTATCTTGCTATGCGCCATGTTCAAAAGACCTTGCGAACCACAGTTCCCTTCGGAGCCCTTCTTGATGGTTGTCTGAAATGTGAGGGTTGATGGCCCTCCTCATCAATCAGCGTTGACACCGAGGCGTGCGCGGAATCTGCCGGCCACCCACCAGCTCCTGTAGCCGCTCAAACCACGAGAGGCCGAGCACGGAGTCCGAGCACGGGGCATGGTATGGCGTCACCAGCGCTGAGGGGGGCGTAGAGAAAGCCGGTGGCAAAGGCCTCGGGCAAAGCGGGGCTGTGATACCAGCTCCAACTGCGTTCCCTGCCTGGGCCTGGGTGTATCTTTTGGGAGAGATCCTTCTTGCGGACCTCTTGGCCCGCGCCAACGATCTGTCAAAAACGTTGCTGCGGAACCCTGCCTTCTTTCTTCGCGCGGATCTCGCTTACCGCGCGCAGCGCGGCTTCTGTGCCCTCCTTCGAAACAGGGTTGCGTGCTGAAAAGAGATCCAAAAGTACGCTGCCCCCGCCAAATATCATCGTTCTTGTGAGGGCCATGGAGGTCGACCCCTCCATTTGGCCGCGGGTCAAAACCAATGGGATCCCATTTTGGGGTAGGTGAATTCACCACCCATTTTAGAAACTATTTTAGTGGTTGGATTGGGATGTTCACTGGGGGTACGATATGGATTTTGACCCATGGCCATTTGTCCAGCAACCATATGCCGGCAGGCGGCCGGCGGGGCATGCACGGGCCTCGTCGCCAATACGTCGGAAGGTGCTGTGCGCCACCAAGGCCGTCTCAGCACGGCGAAGGAGAGCAACAAGTGGACAGCAACAACCTGCTGGTTCTCCGCAGGGAATGACCCATGTGGCTGTGGGTGAAAAATAGGTACCACAAATGGAACCCGGTTAAATGGAAAGAAGGACTAAAACCTGCGGTCCCCTGGTGGTTTAATTTTGACCCATACCAATTTAAACAATCGTCTATGGTTTCCATTAAGATAATCCCTAGGTTCATTTCCAACAGCCTGGGTCATTCCCTCCTGAGCACCAGCAAGACAAGCTGCCGAATGGCTGAGCCAAGGAATTGCTTGGACACTGTGGCGCTGGCATGCAGCGCCGCCTCATATTGCGGGACCTCCACATCCTCCGACAACAACTCCGACGACGACCACGACGACGACGACAACAACAAACAACCAACCAACCAACCAACCGACCGACCGACCGACCGACCGACCGACCGACCGACCGACCGACCGACCGACCGACCGACCCACCGACAACCAACAACCGACAACCGACAACCGACAACCGACAACCGACAACCGACAACAGACAACAAACGACAAACGACAAACGACAAACGACAACCGACAAACGACAAACGACAAACCACAAACCACAAACAAACAAACAAACAAACAAGAACAAGGATAAGGTGAGCGTGTTCGGCTTCAGAGACGTGTACAATTGTCTTCTGTTTCAGCAAAATGGGTCCTGGCAAGTCAACGCCGAGTATCCTCCAGCCATCTTTGCAGGTGCCCTGGCATATTCGATCACAGGCTCTTTTGTCAGGTACTCTTAGTGTCAAACTCAGCCCCTCCAAGGCTCCAAGTGATGGGGCGCCTTTGGCTTTACAAAAAAAGCCGAGCAAACATCAGACATCATGTCATGAAAGCAGATGCAGGTCATTGCCTGGCCTCAAGAGGCAGGCAGCGTACAGGAGCCCACTCCAGCCGGCACCCTGCCTGAGCTGGTGGCAACTTCTGTGACCAAATGTCTTTGTGGTTTTGAGGAGGTACCTGGTACCAAGCTGCTGTGCAGCCTAACTTTGAAAGGAAAAGTCGGTTTACACCTCGGCACATGCAAGCGCAGCCCGTCGTTTTGACCCTGCACGCATCACACCTTCCCTGCCAGGGAAACTTTGGCCCGCACCCATCTTTTAACGTGCCATAGTCATTGTACGCCTTCAAGACCTCGACAAGCAAACAAAATGGCAAGGAGTGGGCAATGTATGTCGTTTACAGGGGCCTCGTTGATCGCCACATCCACGTTGCCAGCCTAGCGCAGGAGCAATGGGAGAAGCAAACACTAGGTGCTCTACCACAAGCAAATCAACGGACATGAACACCCTGCCTGCAGCTGAACCTTGGCCATCAAGAATCTGGCGTCGGCCTCAAATCGCCTGGCCGCCACGGACTGTGAGACGCCTCCAGGAGGCTTGAAGAGGGTTTTTATGTCAGGGTTACCTTAGAAATCTGTACGTTCTGATATGCTTGCCTCTCGCAATTTTGGCCCTCCATTGCCAAATGCACCCCTCTGCCCTCAGTCAGCACCTCATGGAACCTTGACAGGAAAAAACAACTCCGTAGGAAGGCCGACCGTTTCCTCTCAGTGCAGAGGGTTCACCTTCGGGCAAACCTAGAAAGCCAAGTAGAATAGGTCGGTGTGGACTTCAATGGGGCTTCTGGATTCTGAGACATGCAGCAAAGATCGCTCCCGCCTGTTGCCAGATGCCAAAAGCGCAGTACTGGCTGCCTCACTGGGCAAGGCACATGACGCCAGCGCATGGTTGTGGAAAATAGCCCCTTCTACGATACCAATGTGACGCTCCTATTCTTCTGATTCAGTCATTGACTTGAGGGGATGTCCCTTGCAAAAAAAAGTGGCCGCAAAGTCTGAAGATTTAGTTTTTAATGGAACTTTACGCATCAGACAATGGCGCGGGGATTTCGTCGAGATGGCCCTAAAAAACAACATGTCCCAACGCGCCTTGGCTTTCTGCAGCATCTCTTTTGGATTGGCACGGAGGCCTTTCTTCTTGGACTGCGACCAGCCGAGCCTGACTGCAGGCTGACTTGGCAGCAATCACCACATCAGTCCAGAAAAGGGACATCTTGCTGAGAGTTACGAACAAAAACAAGGTTGTGATGAGCAAAAGGGTTGCTTTTGGAGCAAAAATAAAACTAGCGTGCTTTTCTCTGTCGAGTCTTGCCGCTTTCCCTCTTGTCAATCCACATGAGTATGGTTTTTCTTGAGGTTACCTTTTTAAGGTTGGTGTAAAGGGAAGCCATTGGCAAAACCAGAATTTGGAGCCTCGTATTTTGACACATACCCACATAGCAAGAGGTGATACACCCTTGGCATCTTCGGCTGCTCTCTCCTACCCTGACTCTGGCCTGCCATAGCAGGACACTCCTGCCAAATGTGCCTGCAAGGCATCACGGAAGCATGCCGCGTCAAGGACATCACATTCCCCTACCAATTGGTAGGAGCCAAGGGCTCTAAAAAATTGTGGGCTTGTCTCCAAATGGGAACCCAAAAGCTGCCGGAATGGTCACTCAATTCTGTCCGTCTAAACTGACCCTGACAAAAGGAGAAAATTCTAAAGCTCGGTGGCATTCTCTGAATCATTGTCCCGGTAGACTGACCCTAACCATATGGAGATTCATCAATATTCCTGATTCCTGGCCCCAAAATGACCCTGAGTAACTTCTCCCATTTTGTGGGACATATTTTGTCTTTTCAGTGGTTTCCCAACCAATAGTCCTCTCATGTTAAAGGACCTTTTGATCAATCACCATTTGCATGGCTTGCTTGCCACCAAATGGGCATGCAGGTCCATCCCACAACGGCACCCCAGACGGGGACCTCCCGGCCGACCATGGCTTGCCTCCAGCAAGGCGTCGCCGTTTTGGACCTGCAGCGCCTCCTCCGCGGTGTCCATGGCCTCGCGAGGCGACCGGTAGCGGAAGTGTCTCAGGGTCGATGGCTTTAGGTACAATTCGGTTGACCTCTTTTTTGAAAATGGCCTCATATGAGGTTGACCTCATTGCACTGGGCTGCCCGTTTTCAGATCCCCCGCTAGAAGCGACTGACTTTTGGTGGGTCAAATGGAAGCTACCACTAAACACTAAAGGGCGAAAAAGCTATTGGGATGGCTGAGAGCCATCAAGTGCTTTGGGTACAAAGTTGGTGGACCTCTTGAACATAACAAGGTGTCCGTCGTGGGAAATCGAGTCGCTTTAGCACCACGAAGGAGTCCATGGACGGCTGTGGAAAGAATGCAATATGCCAGTCAGCCAATACCAGCCTGGCGGGGGACCAGTGGGACCAGTTTAAGAAATGCTCGATGTGTGAAGCGGAAAAGGAGGGTGCCTGTTGACTCTGCACGACTACAAACCAGATTCCAAAAAGCTGCAATGCCTGAGCATCTCCCCACATGGGCGAAGAAAGAAACCCTCTTGTTAAGGTCCGAAAGAAACCAAAAAAAAGAAAAAGCGCTTGGAGGAGTCCGCACGTTTGACATACACCGCAAACTTTTGCAATTGAAACCAGCAAACCCTGCCCGCGCTCCCGCCTCGCCGTACTGGCCCTTCAGAAGCTGCGCTTCTGCGAGAGCATGTAGAGCCTTCTTCAGCCTGCCAAACTCGTGCACCCACGGACCATAGCTATCCTTTTCGGAAAATAGATGGCCCTGGTAAATGGAATAAAACCCATCTAAACCAGTGCCATCTATTTTTAATCAAGCTAAGCTAAAAAGGACGCCTATGCCACGGACTATCTCAAAGAGGTGCCCGCTACCCCCAAACTTGGGGGGAATGGTAGTCCTAATGACACGTTTGGTAGTGGCGCGTTTGGTAGAGCCCTCGGGCCCAAAGGTTGAATGCTGCGACCGACCAGGGTTGCTCGATGTGTCGTCGCAGTCGGCAAAGGACATTTCGATGTTCTTACCCTTGACAGACACAAACTTCCCGAAGAGGGTGTTGTGAACGACATGAATGGTGGCACCTAGCTGCACATGTATGCCTGAGAAGCCAGTGCCATAGCACAGGTTGTTCGCAATCAGCATTCCCTGTGCCTTATTCCAGGAGGTCGACTTCCGTTTGCCCTTGTCAATCTTCAGGTCACTCAAGGACCAGAGCTCATTGTAATTGTAACGAAGAACATGTCAGAAATCGCGAAGTGAATACCGCCTGTCCCATCGAGCTTCTCGATGGAATGAATCTGGAAGCCATGTGCTCCAACAGCTGATCTTCTAGAGTTGTCGTGTATCATGCATGGTATTGCCTTCAGCCGTGCTGTAATCACCACTCCAAATGCTCAACCAACGGCTGATTTTGATGTTGTTGCCTCGCTTCACAGTAAAACGTTTTGTGTGAGGGTCTGACGGACTTAATTAGAGCTGGCAACCCTCTCGTGCCATCTGTCCTGTTCCAGAGAGTGCCATCCTCATTCTGATACTGGAACATGTCTTGTCAATTCCAGACTTCCAGTGGGATTTGTTCTACCTCACCATAGGAGAAACCAACCCCTCCATGCGAACACTAGGTCCTCCAGTAGAGAGGTTGGAATAAGGGTATCCTTTTTGCTGTAGCCTATTTTAGTAAGGGGACCCTCCCCAAAAAAAAGGTAAAAGGGCGCTACTGGGGAACCTAGAACACGAGCCTGTTTCGTGTTCTCCGCGTCGGTGCCTGGACGTGCTGCAGGTACGGCGGGCCAGGCCGACCGCTTCCTCAGCCGAGCCAAGCGCTCCGTCGGCTTCCAAAGCCTGGCGACGTCGCAAAGTGGTGGACCGCCCTTTGGGATTTGTTGTTTATGTGTTTAACGGTAAACCAAAAGAAAAACCGTTGAACCATCTTAAAAGGACCCTCTGAGAGGAACGCCCAAATAAACGGTGCGCCCAAAATGTAAGCTTTGACTTGGATGATCCAAACCGAAGCTGGAGCTGGCACAGACTAGCAAGGGCATTGTTTGCATATCGGACTCACAATTGGCCCGTCGTGATGCCCGGCTTGCCGCACTATCCCAGCCTTATGATATCCAGTGTTGGTCGCAGAACCCACGTAGTTTCATCCCTCCCTGTGATGGCTCAAGAGGAACGTGTTGATGGCATCGTTGCGCACTACAGGACCCACTCAAACCAGGGCAGGTGGGCCATGCTGTGGCCATAGGAGGCAGTGATCAAGGCATCTGCTCGGTCGCCTTCGTCTCCCGGCCTGCACCAGGCAAACATAGCTCAGAAGCTGAGGCGTTCCTTCTGGCAAATGGACAACCTGCCCATTTGGCAGATTTCAGAAGTGAAGCAGCCAGTTTGTTACTCCGGCTGAACGATGAGCACCCTTTTGAAGTCCCAGAACTTGCTGACCTTTCGGCTTCAAGCGCTGGATCGCCTGCGCAGCAAGCTCAGCGCCTGCGCTGCAGAGGAGACTGCCTGCGGCTTGGCTGGAAGCGAGCCATACCCGAGATCTCACATCGTGAGCTGGATTTGCGTGAGTCTTTCTTTAGGGAACCCACCAAAAGGGGGTTCCCTAACAAAAAACAGCAGACCCTTTCTTCAAATGACATGCCTCGAATGCATCCAGCCCACTCGCCTCTCGGGGCTCCAAACGGATGATATGCACGTTGGCCGTGAGGTGGTAGGCCTGTCAGCACTTTAGGTGACTTCACAGGCGCAAACGCATGCATGTCACTGTATATATATATATATATACTTATATATAGATATAGATATATATATATATATATATGCAACCCCCTCCATGGATTACTGCCTTTTGGGGATGCCAAATCTAGAATCTCAAAATTTAAATTCTCGAAATGTCCAATTGTGGGTCCCCAAAGCCTGATAATTTGGAGCCCGGAGTCCTCCATAATGTTCCAATATGATACCCTTTCCAAATAGGATATTACTTGAACTAAAATTGGAGTTTTAAATGTAGTTTAGTAAGGATATAGCCTTCAAGAATGTGCCTATGTTCAATTTACAGCTTAAACACGCAAATCCTTTCCAAATAGGAGCTACATGGACATGTAAATATAGTTTCGGGTAAACTCCAACTAATCTTTAACAAAAGCAGTTAGCTAGGAGTTGATTCCCAAATAGAATCTAAGTGTTAAATTAAATATAATACGAACACAATTCAATTAGCTTCTGATAATAACAATTAAATAGAGACTACTTCTCAAATATAATTCATTTTAAATATGGCTAAACATTTAAGGGGCCTCTGCAAGGAAAGTCGAAATACGATTTGTGTTATTTACATTCTGGCCATTTTGTAGCATAAGAAAGACCGAAGTTGAACTTGTTGGACTGTGCTCCAAAGGGACATTTCAAGAGAAGAGAGGTTCAAATTCCAAAACTCTCGAAACGGGGATTCTAGCTAGTTCAGTTGTATTTAAATTTTTATTTGCACAGGAAAACACAATTCATGCTATCTCAAAAGCTGGAGGTAGTAGATGAGCAAATGTGGACAGGTAGTTCAGGAGGGGAAGGGGGTGACGATGTGTGACCATACATACATATGTAGATATATATATATACATATAAATATATACATATGTATATATATATATATGTGCACATATATATATATATATACATAAGTACAGAGAGAGAGAGAGAGACAGTACCACGAATGATCCTGCGCCTCTTCATAAAACACTGTAAAATGCAGTGTTTTTGAGCATTGCACCTACCTTTGTTTACCACCTGGAAAAGGGTCAACATGAGCATAGCTGACATGGAGCAAACTGCTCACCAAAAGCACTTGAAAGTTTGTCTAACTAATAAGTTGAAAGTGCTTCCACTGGATCGCTAAGCACTTGAACGTATTTTGCCTCTGGATGGAAGAGGCAAAATTGAAGATTAAGAAAAAAACTCCTCTGAGAATTGTCAATCCTGGCCAAACCCAAACAACATTCAAGTTCTTCTAGCACTTGAAAGTGCTTTACCACTGGATTGAGGATTCAATATTGAGGATTGCACACACAACAACTTCCCCGAGAATTATCCATCCTGGGCAACCCCTAAAAATGTTCAAGTTGTTCTAAAACGTTGAATGTATTTTACCACTGGATGGAAGATTTGAGATTGAAATATGTCACGGAAAGCTTTTCTGAGAACCGTATTGAACACCGAGAGTATTGGGACAACCCTGGAAATAAACAAAAAAAGCAGATCTGGGATTCAAGATTCAAGATTCCCAGAAAGTATTTTCTCAGATTCTTGAATCTTGAATCTTTAAAACAAAAAAATGAGCTGTTCTAATACTCTTGGATGCATTCAAACTCTTTCAGATTGCAGATGATGATGTCATTGCTTTTATCACATATGTATGCATGCATGCATATCATATATACATATGCCCCCACCCCCCCCCCAACCCCCCCACCCGCCTAATTTTGAAACAACATCCAAGAAGCAACAAAAGGCATAAAACACTGTAAAAATACAGGTTAAACGCACCAAGTCAGGGTCCAGGGGGGGGTACCATACTTTAGAGCCTCCGGCTCAGTCCGCCGACATTGCAGCGCTGTAGGCAAGTTCTGGCCCGAGCGGCCGGCAAGCTTGAAGCCTTTCTGTCGGGCGACGTGCGCCGGCCAGGCACAATGGAGCGGCATTCTCTCTCTCTCTCTCTCCCCATCTCCACTTTTTTCTTTCTCTCTCTTTTTTGTCTCTCTCTCTCTCTGTCTCTCTCTCTCTCTCTCTCTCTCTACCACTCTCTCTCTCTACCCCCTTGATTGCCCCTTCATTTCGCCCTCATTTCCTTTTCATGTCCCGTCATTCCCATAATTTCCGCATTGTGTCCCCTTCATGTCCTTTCAACTCCACCTTTATTTCCTTCATTTTCTCAGTATGTCTGCTTCATTTTCCACTTATGTCCCACACATTGCTAGTCATGTGCCTACATCTCCCTTCATGTCCGTTGATTTCCTCGTCACTGTCTGTCATTTCCCTTTGTTTCCACTTCATTCCCCCCGCATTCCCCTTCATTCCCCCTGCATTTCTCATTCCTTTCCCCTTCATGTCCCGTTGAGCTCCCCTTCGTCTCCATTTCATTTCCCTTGATTTCCTGTCATTTCCGCTTCCTGTCCCCTGCATGTCATGGCATTTTCCTGGATTTCCCTTCATGTCCCCTTCATGTTCCCTTCCCTTGCATTTCCCCTTCATTCCCCGTTATTTCCATGCATGTCCCTCCAAATTCTCGAACAACACAGTAGTTGTCAACGTTTTCACAAAAAGGATGTCAAAACAACACTGAGTTTTTCAAGGTTTTCAGCAAAAGGAAGCGCAAAACCCGGCGGCAGGGGGATTCGAGCCTGGGACCCCCTGTTTCTCCAGACCCGCTCCCCGAAGACTCTTTTTATCACCTGGGGGGGGAATAGTCTGCGGGGAGCGGGTCTGGAGAAACAGGGGGTCCCAGGCTCGAATCCCCCTGCCGCCTCTCTGCCGGCTCGGGTTGTGTGCTTCCTTTTGCTGAAAACCTTGGAAAAACTCAGTGTTGTTTTGACATCCTTTTCATACATACATACATACATACATTACATTACATTACATTACATCAGATTACATTGCACTACATTACATTACATTACACTAAACTACATTACATTACACTACAATTACATTGCATTACATTACACTACATTACATTACATTACATACCATACACACATAAATACATACATACACACATACATACATACATAACATTACATAACATTACATAACATTACATAACATTACATAACATTACATAATATTACATAACATTACATTACATAACATTACATAACATTACATAACATTACATAACATAACATTACATTACATAACATTACATAACATTACATAACTTTACATAACATTACATAACATTACATAACATTACATAACATTGCATAACATTACATAACATTACATAACATTACATAACATTACATAACATTACATAACATTACATAACATTACATAACATTACATAACATTACATAACATAACATTACATACATACATTACATACATACATTACATACATACATACATACATACATACATACATACATACATACATACATACATACATACATACATACATACATACATACATTACATACACATACATACATACATACATACATACATACATACATTACATACATACATTACATACATACATTACATATACATACATACATACATACATACATACATTACATACATACATACATACATACATACATACATACATACATACATACATACATACATACATACATACATACATACATACATACATACATACATACACACATACACTACATACATACATACATACATTACATTACAATACATTACATTACACTACATTACATTACACATACATTACATACATACATACATACATACATACATACATACATACATACATACATACATACATACATACATACATACATACATACATACATACATACATACATACATACATACATTACATACATACATACATACATTACATTACACTACATTACATTACATTACATTACATTACATTGCATTACATTACATTACATTACATTACATTACATTACATTGCATTGCATTGCATACATACAGACATACACATACATACATACATACATACATACATACATACATACATACATACATACATACATACATACATACATACATACATACATACATACATTACATACATACATACATACATACATACATACATACATACATACATACATTACATACATACATACATACATACATACATACATACATACATACATACATACACATACATACACATACATACATACATACATTACATACATACATACATACATACATACATACATTACATACATACATACATACATTACATTACATTACATTACATTACATTACATTACATTACATTACATTACATTACATTACATTACATTACATTACATTATTACATTACATTACATTACATTACATTACATTACATTACATTACATTACATTACATTACATTACATTACATTACATTACATTACATACATACATTACATTACATTACATTACATACATACATACATACATACATACATACATACATACATACATACATTACATTACATACATACATACATACATACATACATACATACATACATACATACATACATACATACATACATACATACATACATACATACATACATACACATACATACATACATACATACATTACAGATACATACATACATACATACATACATACATACATACATACATACATACATACATACATACATACATTACATACATACATACATACATTACATTACATTACATACATTACATTACATACATACATACATACATACATACATACATACATACATACATACATACATACATACATACATACATACATACATACATACATACATACATACATACATACATACATACATACATACATACATACATACATACATACATACATTATACATACATACATACATACATACATTACATACATACATACATACATACATACATACATACATACATACATACATACATACATACATACATACATACATACATACATACATACATACATACATACATACATACATACATACATACATACATACATACATACATACATACATACATACATACATACATACATACATACATACATACATACACATACATACATACATACATACATACATACATACATACATACATACATACATACATACATTACATACATACATACATACATACATACATACATACATACATACATACATACATACATACATACATACATACATACATACATACATTACATACATACATACATACATACATACATACATACATACATACATACATACATACATACATACATACATACATACATACATACATACATACATACATACATACATACATACATACATACATACATACATACATACATACATACATACATACATACATACATTACATACATACATACATACATACATACATACATACATACATACATACATACATACATACATACATACATACATACATACATACATACATACATACATACATACATACATACATACATACATACATACATACATACATACATACATACATACATACATACATACATACATACATACATACATACATACATACATACATACATACATACATACATACATACATACATACATACATACATACATACATACATACATACATACATACATACATACATACATACATACATACATACATACATACATACATACATACATACATACATACATACATACATACATACATACATACATACATACATACATACATACATACATACATACATACATACATACATACATACATACATACATACATACATACATACATACATACATACATACATACATTACATACATACATACATACATTACATACATACATACATACATACATACATACATACATACATACATACATACATACATACATACATACATTACATACATACATACATACATACATACATACATACATACATACATACATACATACATACATACATACATACATACATACATACATACATACATACATACATACATACATTACACATACATACATACATACATACATTACATACATACATACATACATACATACATACATACATACATACATACATACATACATTACATACATACATACATTACATTACATTACATTACATACATACATACATACATACATACATACATACATACATACATACATTCCATACATACATACATACATACATATACATTACATTACATTACATTACATTACATACATTTACATACATACATTACATACATACATAACATTACATACATTACATAACATTACATACATTACATACATACATACATACATTACATACATACATACATACATACATACATACATACATACATACATACATACATACATACATACATACATACATACATACATACATACATACATTACATACATACATACATACATACATACATACATACATACATACATACATACATACATACATACATACATACATACATACATACATACATACATACATACATACATACATACATACATACATACATACATACATACATACATACATACATACATACATACATACATACATACATACATACATACATACATACATACATACATACATACATACATACATACATACATACATACATACATACATACATACATACATACATACATACATACATACATACATACATACATACATACATACATACATACATACATACATACATACATTACATACATACATACATACATACATACATACATACATACATACATACATACATACATACATACATACATACATACATACATACATACATACATACATACATACATACATACATACATACATACATACATACATACATACATACATACATACATACATACATACATACATACATACATACACATACATACATACATACACATACATACATACATACATACATACATACATACATACATACATACATACATACATACATACATACATACATACATACATACATACATACATACATACATACATACATACATACATACATACATACATACATACATACATTACATACATACATACATACATACATACATTACATAACATTACATTACATACATTACATTACATTACATTACATTACATTACATTACATTACATTACATTTACATTACATTACATTACATTACATTACATTACATTCATACATACATACATACATACATACATACATACATACATTACATACATGCATAACATAACATAACATTACATTACATAACATAACATAACATGACATGACATGACATGACATGACATGACATGACATGACATGACATGACATGACATGACATGACATGACATACATACATACATCATACATACATTACATACATACATTAATACATACATGAATACATACATACATACATACATACATACATACATACATACATACATACATACATACATACATACATACATACATACATACATGGACAATGAAGCGGACATACCGAGAAAATGACAGGGACATGAAGGGGGAGTTGACAGGAATGGAAGGGACATGACCAGGACATCATGGGAAACGTGAAAAGGACATGAAGGGGAAATCAAGGGGAAAGCCAGTAGTGAGATGACAGTTCAGGGTCGTGAAGGGGCAGTGCCCGGACATCGAGGCAACTCAGGGGGGACGTGACGCTGCAATGCAGAGAGAGAGAGAGAGAGACAGGGAGAGAGCTGGAGAGAGAGAGAGGGAGAGAGAGAGAGACACAGAGAGCGAGAAAGAGAGAGAGAGAGAGAGAGAGAGAGAGAGAGACAGAGACAGTGCCAGAGTCAGAGAAAGAGACACAGAAAGAGACAGGTAGAGAGAGAGAGAGAAAGAGAGAGACAGAGAAAGAGAGACACAGAAAGACAGAGAGAGAGAGACAGAGAGAAAGAGCGAGAAAGAGAGAGAGAGAGAGAGAGAGACTAAGTCCTCCAGTAGAGAAGTTAGAACGAGGGTACCCACTTTCTGTAGAGGGGTGTGGACAGGAAGGAGACAGGGAGACAGAGAAACAGAGAGAGAGAGAGAGATAGAGAGAGACAGAGAGAGGGAGATTGAGGAGAGAGAGGCTTGGGGGGACGGGGAGGATCGGGAGCGGAGGGAGGGAGAGAGGACAACAGAACACACAAGGGAGACAAGGGAGAGATGAAGAAGGAGAAAAGGGAGAGGACAATGTCGGCGGAGTGAGCCGGAGGCTCTAAAGTATATATATATATACATATATATGCATATGTATTGTAATGTATATTCCATAATGTGCGTACGCACAATGCAGCAACACCGACAGCCCAAGTCTCCCACCTCCGCCTCTTCTTTCACCAGGCGTGCCCGGGAGAGCACCGCGGCCGCCTGGCGACTGGCCTGCAGCGCCGACTTGGTGTCGCCCTGCTGCACGCAGACCTGGCGCTGGCAGCTATGAGCGGGTCTCCCGGTTTTCTTTTGTGGGGAAGTGGCTGACTTTCCCAGGACCCCCTCCCAAGTGGAACCATAGACTGGATATGTTGACCATGCACAATCTGGCTACAACCGTGCCTTGGCGCAGGCTTTGAAGGCGTCTGCTTCGCCCACCCTGGTGGAAAAAGCTGAGATTCAAAGTTCAGATCGCTGAAGACGTTTGAAGAAAGGGACCATTTTGCTAGACAAACATGACAAGTTCCGCCCAAATCCACCAAAGCTCGAAGCACATCCCAGCCAGGCCACTTGTCACCCAGAGAACGGCAAATGTTGGCCGCATCCTCAGCGACCGCCACAGCCTGTCAACAGGAGAAGTGTGCCTCTGGCTGCATCTGCGACTGGCACAATGCTTAGAAATCTGAATGCAACAAAACCTGTGTCCATCTGACGCCAAACTCAACTGAGTGTGACGCTAGGATCTGAAATCTCAATCAAGTCCCAGCCACTCGGCCAAGTCATACCCATCCGCAGCCTTGGGCGCTTCGTTGAGAGCCATGTGCGCCGGGATGGCCACATCCAGCAGCACTCGAGCTTCTTGCAGCCTTGGGCTTGGCCCCTGGAAGGCACTCAACATAAGAGCAGATGAACTGGCCATGGGTCAAAATCCAAATCGTACCCCCAGTGAACATCCGATTCAATCCAACCACTAGAATAGGTAACCTAAGATGGGTGGTGCAACTACCCCAAAATGGGATACCATTGGTTTTGACCAGCCAACTTGAGACCTCGAAAAGGCTCAAGCCACAAAGCGCAAGCTAAATCAGTGCGACCCGTTCGAGATCCCTTCAATGTGGGGCTCGGATCAGCTCACTCCCGTGAGTGCTTAGCGTCTGGCTGAACCTGCTTCAGCTTTTGGAACAGCAGCCGGGCTTCGCCCACCTTCAACCCAGAGCAGGGCCTCAACTGCCTCAAGGGGCCATGAGGGCCTGCCTGCAACGGTTAGGATTTCGGGGTAAGGCAGAGTTGCAGTTAGCAGTTCAGAGTCTCAGAGCTAGTTCCCAGTGCTCGGAGCTTCGGACTTGGACCTTAGGACCAAGGACCTCTTTCTCAGGCCTCCGACAGGGCATCCTTCAACATTCCCAGGGCCATGTAGACCTGGGGACTGCGCTACCAGTCTTTGCGCAAACCGCGCGCGCACACCGCGCGCGCCTTGGCCAGCTCGCAGGTTGCCTCCGCCTGCCCCTTCACGTCGCCGCGGCGCTGGAAGAGGGCGACCACATCCACGGCGGCTTTGATGCTGGCAGACTGCTGCCCCCTGCCCAGATGAGTCATAATCAAAACCCGGTACTAAGATGGTCTACCCAGAACTATGTAAAGAATTAAGAAGGCGGAGGCAGCTATTGATGGTTGGGATTGTCCCTTAGTAACCGTCATCTACCCGGGTTTTGATTGTGGCTCAGATGACCAAATCGAAACAGCGAAGATGAAACTAGTCTGGAGCTAATCCGCCAGTAAAGCCGCGCCTGGCTCGTTCTGCAGCAGACAGCTTGTGCAAAGCCTTCCCACGGCACTCGGACACGACACTTGAGAGCATGCAGCCTGAGGCAAAGACCTTTGCTTCCAGCTTGGTGTGGTTCAGCCTCGGGTCTCGGTCCATGCTCCGGATGCCCATGCCGTCCAAACAACTAACATGCCCTGCGTCCAAAAACACAAACCAAATGAGTCACAATCAAAACGGTGTTCAAATGGTCGTAATCCCAGAAACATGTAAAGAATGAAGAAGGCGGCCGCAGCTACTTCTGGCTGGGACTGCCCCTTACTAAGCTTCGTCTACCCGGGTTTTGCTTGTGGCTCAAATGCCCTGCATCCACCAAAGGCCCAGGGGCTCTCGGAAGATCTCCAGCGCCTTCTGCGCATTCTCCACGTCCTGGGGCTGTTTTTGGAGGCCCCTTGGTTGGGTGTGAAGGGAAACCTACCAAAAAAACAACCAAATGTTTGGCAACCGCCAATTTTCGGGTGTCATTCTTTAGGGCCCCTCCCCCCAGAAAAATAGTGGTCTTCCTTCTGGTTTCTCTGCAAAAACCTACAAAGAGCCATACCAACCCCCGAAAAAAAGCAAGAAAGACGGCCCCTTGCGGGGTCCCACCATCTGGCAGGCCATCACTCTTGGTGGAAGCTGCTTCAACCTATGGGTATGGTTAGCTGGCGGCATGTCCGCATGATTGGTCAATTGACCCAGTGATGGAACCACACCCACAAGTAACAAATCCTTTGAAGCCCTGCCGGTGCATCCAACCGGCGGTTTCCTTTAAGGGGAAGCCTGGGTTCCTTCCATGTCTCATTCCCTATCGTTCCCTTCGGGAAAAAAAGAAGAAGAAGAACAAAAAACGTACCCCGAAAAACCGCCGTACCAAAAAAACCCGTACCAACTCCCAAGAAAACAAAACAAGACGCACAAAACGACGCCCCTTTCGGGGTGTCCCGGGCTTCCACCCCCCCGGCCCCCGCCGTCCTTCGCGGCACCGTCCGCCGCCTCCAGCAGCGCCTCCCCGCAGCTCTGCAAATCCCCGCCGCCGCGGAACGCCTCCGCCGCCTCCTTGGCCGAGGCGGCGCCCAGGGCCCAGGCCACCTGCGATGGGAGCGGTGGGAGCGGTGTCCGAGGGGTGACAACCCGCAGCTTCTTGGAATCACCGCAAAATCCATCGGATTCTGAAAAACGGATGGAGAAATGAGTGGCAAAAAAAAAGTCTGTGTGGTTTGAATGGCTTGATGTATATCCGGGAAATTGTCCTCAAGTTGTTGGAAACATCGCTTCAATCAAGTGTAACTTCCAGTCTCTGGTTCCCCTGCTCAAACAGACCAGTTTGCCTAAACCCAAATTCCTTCAGGCTCCGAAAGGCTTAAACAAACTCCTTGTACCTGAAAAGCTCCTAAAGGCAAAAAAAGAAAACCTTGTACCTAAAAAGCTCCTAGAGACAAAAAACAAAAACCTTGTAACTCAAAACGTTTCGTGGCCACCGCCTCCGTTGGGTTCCTGATAAAAACGGCTGGCCTTGAGCGCCGCCAGCTGCCCCGCGCTGTACCTCGCAGACGCGAAGAGCTTCGCCGCCTGCTGCGCCGCCTGCGCCGCCTCCGCCTGAAATCGATCAGCGCCCGGGGTCCAGCTGTTTGCGTTGCGCTTCAAGTTGGGTGACCCGTGGAGGGGAGGAGTTGGCAAAACCACGGGGGTCCACAAACAAAACGGCCACAAATGAGTCAGAATCAAAACCCGGTGTTAAAATGGTGGTAGTCCCAGAACCATGTAAAGAATTAAGCAGGCGGCAGCTGTTTGTGGTTGGGATTATCCCTTACTAACCTTCATCTACCCGGGTTTTGATTGTGGCTCATCTGTTTTCAAAGTTGGACCCCCCACAATGGCTTCGGATTTCCCTTTTGGCTTCCCTGTAAAGACCACACAAACAATATGTACCCTTGCAAAAAGACACGCCCATGTGTGTGTGTGTGTGTGTGTGTGCGGTTCCTGCATGAAACGGGAATCTAGGAATCTGAGATGTCATGACATCATCCGAGTTTCAGCAACACTGCAACACTGCATGGCGTCGTGGACGTTGCAGAAGTCGTGGACGATCAAACATTCGTCAAACATGTCTCCAAATACACCAAAAAACATATTATATCGATTTCAAGCGCTGCAAATTATATTTTTCCCGATGTGACAACAAATGTATGATTGTACATTGTAAAATGTGCTTGCAAATTGTGTGTGTGTGTGTTTTGTCTTCCAATGTGTCCATGTTTGCATCGCCGTTCTTCTTTTGACCTGCGCCGGTTGGGTTTCTATTTGGGTGTGGCTCAAAATTAAACAGCAGGGGCAAACCGCTGGCTCTGGTTTCCATGTCTCCACTTGCCAGGGCAAGCCATTTTGGAATTCCGGTTGTTTGAGCCACAGCCATCTCATCTGTTTGCGTTGCGTTTAAGGCTGGACCCCCCAAAGTGGCCATCTATAGGTTTTTCCAAGGTGTCCATGTTTCGCATCGTCTCCTCTTTCGACCTGCGCCGGTGGGCTTTCCATGTTTTCTCCAACAGGGATCCTTACATTATACACCTGAACATTGCCTTGTACATGGTGGTGTCCCTGTATTTGGGTCGACTGGCACAGCACCCCCCCTTGCAAATGGAGTTGGTGGAAGGGCTTTCATGTTCCTTTTGTGGTAAGACTGGAGAAAAACGGAACAATCGCATCCAAACCTAAATCCACACACCACAAGTATTAAAAACCAACATGTTTCCAATGGGCAACAGGTATCTTTTGAGGAGCCCTGTCCAGACCGCGCCTTGGAGGCCTCCGCCGCCCTGGGGTCCGCGGCCTTGGCCTCCAGCACCCGCGCCAGGCCCAGCCGCGCCTTGGCCTCGGGTCGCTGCCCGGGTGGGGCGGGGCCCTGGTCAATGGAAGCACGGGCTGAAAACCTGATGTCCATAGCCTGGTGGTTTAATTTTGACCCATATCCAAGAATTTGGGTCCCAACCTGGGTGTCGTCCTTTTTCAGGTTGGACTCCCAAAAAAAGCGATGTTTATTGTTTTTGATTCTTGTTGTTGGTGTCCCGATAATTCTAAAACCACCTCTCTATTCTGGTGCTTTAATTCTAACCCATGCAAAAGCTTTTTCAACATGTTTCACGCTGTAAATAGTGGTTCAAGCATCTTTACACAATCAATTGGCTGTTTGAGCCATGGTTCCATCAGCCCAACGACTCACTGAATTTCCCCGCCTCCGACAGCGGGGTCTTGGCCGCGCCCAGCGCGGCCCTGGCCGCCGCGAGCGCCTCCTCGGCCTCGCTGCGCAGCACGCGCACCCGGGCGACCGCCACGTGGGCGTCCGTCTCGTCGGCGGCGTCCCCGGAGTCTTTGGACAGCGAGATCACCTGCGTCTTCAGCTTGCGTCTGTTGTCAGAAAAACCACACAAACTCGGGTATGTTGTTCTTGTTCTTGTTTTTTTTAGGCGGAGGGTCTGATTGTGAGACAAGCCCAACTCACAGACTCACCGTGTTTTTTGCAAGAACAACCACAAAGCATGTCCAGCTCACGGCTCTCTCATCGCCTCCTGCAGAAGCCGCAAGGTGGGCTCAGTGTCCCCCCGGCACAAGTGGATCTGGGCAGTAGCCTGGCCAAGTTGTTTTGGTTGGGTGGGCCAAACACGGGGAGTCCGCCAAAATGGTGGGCTGCGTCGGTTTCTTTCTGGCTGTCCCTTGCAGAAAAAATTGGGGTTCCCAAAGAAAACGCCATCTTTCCTGCGCCATTACCCTGCACTCCCAGCTGCCAAAGCTTATATGCGCGGAGGAACTTCCACAAACTCCCACAAGTCCAGCAACTGGCTTCCCCAGAGACAAGCTTGTGCAATCAGACAGAATATGAGGGCGTTTCCGGGAGATTGATCCTTGCAGGTTCACTCCGTTCTTGCTTCAGGTATGTGTTGTCATACTGTGGGGAATTGCCAGGTGCCAACAGGAGAAACACGTACTGCATGTGCCAGCACAGCAACCAAAAAACAGGATGGAGCTTCCAATCACTGCTGATATCCGTGGCTACTTGGCCGTTCCAAAATAGAAAGAGAGAGATAGAGAGAGAGAGAATCCCAAAGTGAGAAAAGTCGGATTTGCAGAAGCCAACAGGCTCAGAAGGCAAGAAGGCCGCAAGGCGATGAGGCAACAAGACCAGAGGGCGAGGAGGCAAAAGAACAAATGCAAGCGGCGATAAACCACACCGGTAGGTTGGTGGAACCCTTCAAACGATGAAAGTCCGGACAACTAGCCCAATATATATATATATACATATATATATATATATATTGCACGCCCCAAGGCATTTCATCAGCTGCGGGTTCTGGAAGATTACAGGCTTGCTGTTGAATGGTCCGGATTCACAAACCACACACATTCAAACCAAAGCCGCCTGGTGGCGCAAAGCGTCCCAACTTCACAGTCCACACCGCCTCTGTTGCCGCCTTTCCCGGAATCTACTTCCTCAAATGAACCAAGATTTTAGATCAACGTCAAACAACTTCCCTTCCCAGCCCCTTCTTCCCCCTCTCTCACCCCCGAACACCCAGCCCATAGGCCCATAGGCCCATAGGCCGATAGGCCGATAGGCCTTGAGGGCCACCAGCTCCCCGGGCAGATCCTCAGCCGCCCGCAGCAGCCGCAGCCCCGCCGCCGCCACCTTCAGCGCCGAGTCCACCTCAGAGCCACAAAGCCCCATGACAAGAGGCGCAGACCTGGACAAGAACCCGGCCCCTAAAAAAAAACACCATATCGCGCGGTGGCGTCCCCCTCTGAAAGAAACCCTTTCCAAAGAGAGGTTTTGAGAAAAAAAGGGGGTAAGCTTGGAGAATGAGGAGAAAACAACCACAGCTGGCAGGAATCCTGTGACAAGAAGCGACATCATTGCCTGCTGAGATTATTGATGTTGGTTAGCTATCCGGGCAAACAAGGTTCTGACCGTACCAGGGCATGCATGTCGGTGACCGTCGCATCCGAAACGAATGGATAGTGGATGTGTCCGAACGAAACGGCCGTCACTCGAGTCAAGGGATGGCCAATGAAGTGAACAACAGAGCCCTTACAGGGGATACCCAGCGAAGGCCTCTGTCGCATCCAAAGATCCAATGCGTTGGGACCCGGGCCTCCTTCCGCGCCAAGTACGCAGAGGCCACTTCGTTGAGCAGAGCAAAGGCCTATCGCTGGAACAAAAAGAAACGAGGAAGCAATCTTAAGGAAAGGCTGCCCGCCTTCCCGCAGCAACTAGCTATGGTTTTGAAAGACAAATATGATCACGTGCTTTTCTGCTGTGCGTGTTCCCTTCCGCTGCGGACCTCGGAGCTTCCGGTAAGCTCGACCAAAAACCCAGAGACGCCGAGCCGAGCCATCCACGCCTCTCCTGTCGAGTCACCCACATCCCTCAGAGCTGCAGCCGCCTGGTAACATGGAGCCAGCTGTGCCAAGCACTGAATCGACCCACGTGATCTTCGCTCGCGACAAGACCATGAGACCTGCAGGGCGGCTTTTTGCTGCTTTGCAGCTGGTCAGATGTAGCTAACAGCCCAATGTTTGAGCCATCTGGATTCGTTTCATGGATCCTCCAGTTTAATCGGCCGTTTGATGCCTTGTTGCCAAGCTTGGCAGGCTTCAAGCCTTGCCTTGCCTGCTTTTCAGGCTTGAGGGGCCTGACTCATGTCATAGCCCCAACTCAAAGCAAGACAAATTCTATGGAGAATACGACTCAGGCAAGCATAGGGCCGTAGCCAATTCCATCACAAAATGTCGAACTACTTCTTTTACAAGCACCAATCTGTGCAATAGCGCTGTGAGGCATCTCACATTACAAAGCCAAGATTGTGCATCATAATTACCCAATGAAACTCAGAATCATGACGAGACGGTGGCGCACAAATGGCGGGCGACTCGCAGTCACACCGAGAAAGAGATGCAACAAAGGGACCCGAAGCCTCGCGTGACAGCCATGTGCAGCAAGCTCACTGGGGCTTGCCATCTCTGAAGTTCCATTGCCCTTCACGCGGCTCAGGCCGCGCATGGGCCTTGCATTGCAGGTGCTCATAGACTTCTGGCTTGGCCCTGCACCGGGCGCCGGACGGGGATGGACGCCGACGTGGGCCGGGACGCGTAGGACGCGTAGGAGGCCGAGGTGGGCCGCGACACGGACGCGGAGGTGGGCCGCGAGGGCCGCCACCGCGACGCCGAGGTGGGCCGCGAGGTGGGCCGCGAGGGCCGGGAGGTGCCGGCAGTGGTGGGCCGCGAGGCATAGGAGGTGCGCGCGCTGGATCTCCTGGACCTGCGCTGAACACGGGATTTCCGGAGAAATCTTCGCTGGACGTTGGCGCGTTGTTTCTCCAGCAACTATATCGGAGGATGTTCCCCATTCAGATTCATAACCCCCAGAACTGGCAAGCTGAGGATGCGGCTCAGATCTGCTGGGGACATAACAGGCTTTGGCACAGCTGTGCTGAATGTCCTGAGCTCAATGGCGCCTGGTTTAGTGTTGCTTCAAGGCGAACAAAAGGAGCACCCTCGAGATCTTGCAGTCAAGGCTCGGGTGTTGCTTGGATCAGCCTGAAAACACGAAATGGAAAGCACACCGAATGCAACAAACAAGATCTTCAAAACCATTGCGACCCATCCCAGCTGCCATGGTCAAAGGAGGAGTGTCGACTCAAAGTTCAGGTGTTTTCAACTGTCTTGATACATGTAGTTGGTTTCCGTTCGACCCTGCCAACCCAGGGACATCTATGCTTGACACGCTCCGCACTGAATGAGAACATAAAGCTGCTGGCAGGAGACTGATGTGGAGCAAGCCGGGACTGACACGGCCATTAGCTTTCTTCACGTGGCTGTGGGCCAAAAATCGGTACCCCAAACGGAACCCTGGCAAGTGGAAACAAGGACCAAAACCTGCGTAACCCCATCCTGTTTAGTTTTGACCCATACCCATGTTGCCCTTGTTGCTTACAAGTTGAGCCACGCCCATCTCAAGCAAAAAAAGAGAGCTAAAGCCGCCTGGTGGAAGCTCCTCCGGCCGCTCCCTCGATGGGAGTCTGAGCATGTACCACTCCGCGCTGCTTTGCCTTGAGAGCCACCAAAACGGCTTCAACAGGGACCATAGAGGAACCACGAGATCAAAAGTGAGCCTGCAATCCACACAAAATGAGACAAATGGAGACAAATGAAGAGAAATGGAGACACATGTCGGAGACTGCGATGTTGACAGACTGTGCACCGGCCCACTCAACCACGAATCCGGCAAAGTAGCGAAAATAAGTCTTAACATTTTGCAACTGACTCAGTGACTTCCACAAGCTGTTCTGCACCTGGGCGCTTAGCAAGAGTGCCTCGGGTTGCTTTCGGTTCTGACCGTCAAACACATCTCCGGCTGGTACTAGTATGTGCATGGTGGCTAGCCGTGACACGGGCTCAACCCTGGCCCAGCTCAGCGTTTTGCTAAAGGATGCTTTCTCATTGTCAAGAAAATAATCTCTCAGATCTAATTTGACAAGGCGGAGGCAGATTTAGCTTGTTTCACTCCCTTGGGTTGCCTCAGAGCAGGGTTCTGGCTTTCTTGGAGTGCAGTGAGGGTGGGGCTTGGGTCAGTATGCACCAGCGTTGGCTTAGTGTTGGCATACGCTTTGTGAGGGGTGAGTTTGGGCTGAAGTAGGGTGGATTCGTTCTCTTTGTGTGGCTGCTTGGTCAAGGCCCGATGGTTGCCGGGTTGGCGGTTGCTTTCGCAGTTGTCAGGCTTGCTTTGAGTAGGCTTGCGGTTCGCCGCATGTTCGGCTGTTTCGGGCTTGGGGTCGAGCAAGCCTGGAGGCCAACACCCATTAGGCCGTGTCCAAAATTCCACGTGGCATCCAAGCTGCCAGGGCCAAGCGCTTCATCACCTCCTCCTCGCCATCTGCCACGCTGGAAACGCTGCTGCGCAGCGGGCGCACCAGCTGGCTGTGGGGCCCAAAGAGCTCGAAGGTGCGAGGGAAGAGGGACACGAAGTCGTGCCTGGCGTCATGGCTTCAGCGTGGCTTCCCTTAGGGCCTGAAACAGAGGACCTCAAAAGTGGTGCTGATTCCCCTCGTCCCAGGCCCACAAAGTGGGTTGGCCACCAGAAGGAACCAGTAAGAAGGGGTAGGTACTTCCACTCAGACTGACTGCTCCGGTGGAGAATGTGCCAAGGCTTCCAAGTTGCAAACACAGGTTGAGTCGGTCCCAAGAACCGTGGCGTCTGCATCCAGAGCAGTATGCCTTGTTCAGAAGATGGAGCGACCATTCCTGCACACCACCATATCTGGAGAATATGTCCAAATGTCGCACTCAAAAGCTGTCACAAAGGCCCAGCCTTCGTGTTTGCCGGCATTTTGGTCCGCATGATGTACAGCAATTCCTCGGCATCTGCCCGGAACTTCATCCAGTGCTGGATGGAATACCTGCATCGCTCATCCCCATGGTGTTCAAGAAAGGGGGGCTATATCACAAATCCAGACCATGGCGGCCCAGCAAGGTTTCCAGCCAACAGAAAACACACACACACACACACTCACACACACACACACACACACATGCGACAACTTTTCAACTCGATCAATTCCAATGATTCCGGCTCAACTGCGGGGAAGCCATTTTCTTTCATCCTTTCCGCGCCTCACCACGCCGCTCTCAGGGCGAAAGAGGCCGCATTTGGTCCTCCACAGCTCTGCGGCCACCGGCACCTCCATGATGCCCATGTCCACAGGCCGCGGGTCGAGGCTCTGCCAGTGGGGCCAGCCTCAGGCGGGCAGCCGGGCAGCCGGGGGCGCCTTGGTCCTGTCAAGTGCTTCCGGGGAGCGTGTCCGGTAGGGCTGTGGTGTAGCATCAGCCTGGCGAACGCATCGGTGCAAGGAAAGGTGTGCCGTTCAATTGTTCAATGCCATCATTCCTGCAGGAGCATCCAAGCGCCAGAGACTTTTTCAGCCCAGCTAGCATTGCGGCTGGGCAAGAGTCTGCTGCTAAAACCCCTCAAGCGCATCCATCGCGCGGTGGGACATGCTCTCCTGCGACATGCTGACCGGCAGCGCGGCATCAGTCGAGCCAGCTTCCTCTCTCGATGTCGTCCGCGCCCACGACCTGTCCGCCTCCACCGTAATTAGCCCTTCACGTCTGTGTGGGCTCGTGCTGCCTCAAAGCTGACCACGCACATGCGGGACGAAGCAATGTTTAAGTCCAATGGTTTGGCGATTACTTGCAGCTCAGAGACGGACAACCCACATTGTCTTTGTCGTAGAAACCGCATTCTCCTTCCTGAAGCTCCTCAGCGCAAGGCCCATGCTTCCCGCACAAATCATGCTGAATTCAGCCAGAGTCAATGCCGCATGCCCAAGTTCCCACTCGCCTCCGGATCATCGCAGCGGGAGAGGTGGAGCTGCAACTCCCGCAGCGCCGCGGGCTGTGAGAACTCCGACTGGAGCGTGATGACCTCGGCAAAGAGGGTGCGACTCACGGAAGCTCTGTACCCAGCCCGAGCTCAAGGTCTGAGGGGTCCTGGGCCCCTGGCCTGCATGAGGACGCCATACTCGGACACCAGGCGGCGCTTCCTTATACAGAGCAGAACAACAGAACTCAGTGCACGCGATGATTCTGTTTTTCGGGTAGCTTTGCCTGCAGCTTGGCATCAATGCCGCTTGGAGCGATGCATTGTGACAAAGATCCGTACGGTGGCCAAGCCGGAACTGGCGCCGCCGGAAGACCGTGGCCGGAAACGGCCCCAAGCCGAGCCATCGGGCGATGTGGTTGTAGCTCTCCTTCGGTGATCGCAGGGATGCCTCGCAGGGATGAGTTGAAGTGCCCTCCACACCTTCCGCATAGTCCATCATCCACATTGTGAATGATTAATTTATCATGCTTGTCATGTTTCAAGCAACACAAGAATCTTCGTAACGGAGGGTGGCAACGTGTGTGGCAGCGGCTCGGTTTCAGCCCAGCCTGATGCACTACCAGTAGCCGCTGGCGGTTGAAAATGCGCATCAGCACCTCCAGGTGCTTCCCCAAAAGCTGCGCACGCAGCCAGGGCTGCAGCTCCCAAGTCAGCAGCGCACGGATGCTGTCGTAGCACCTGGCCGTGGGTCTCCCACAGCTTTGAAGCCACACAATTTCACGTCCCGCCCTCTGAAAATGAGGGGGCCTGAATGTTTGCTTCCTGAGCCAGGTCGCCTTGCCTCCCGCTGGAGTTGGTTGCAAGCCCATCAAAAGGGAGGACCTTCGAGGTTTCGACCCGACACGTTCCCGCCTCTGCCCCGGAGCCCTTGCCATGACGTCTCCGCGCTGGACAGCAGCCTCATGGTCGGCGTGGCAGAACCTGTGCCGAGTCAAACCAAACCAAACCAACAGCTCGCAGCGGTTGCAAGTCCACACTCCAAGCCAAGGAGCTTCCAGTACATGA